AATATTTCTTGAACAAAACGTTTTCAAAATCACAAGACCTTTCAATTGATATCAAGAAAAAGGGGCTGACCCCTCAAACTAGGGGCTCAGAGGGGCCAAAAGCATGCCATCTAGAGCTTTTTGATAATGTTATATAAATCAAAAGAATGAAATCTAATTAGGGAAGTCTATATATTATTATCTTTTGACAAAGATCATAGTCAAAATAATATCTCATCTTATCGAAAAATCGGACGGAAGACCTACTCGTTGCTCGCAACGAGATCTCATCTAGTTATTATTATTATTATTATTTTTCTTCCTGGGTACTTTTTTGTCCGTGAGTGATCTCCGAAACTATACATCCGATTGAGTTGAAACCTTTTTAGGGTTAATAGGAATGTAATGTAGATTTGCGGAACGAAGGTCATTTTGCACGCACGTGCATGCACGTGCGTGCGCGTGCAATGAGTAAAATGACCAATATACTTGATATTGCCATAACTTTTATATCTTTTGATGAAATACTTTGATACTCAGAATATAAGAATATATTAATAGTGTAGACAAGATGACATGGTCAGAATGCACATGCATGCACGTGCGCGCATGCGCATTGATTAAAATAACCAATACAATTGATATAGACTTAACTTGTACATTTTTTGATGAATTGCTTTGACACTCAGAATATAAATATATATTAGAAGTGTAGACAAGAAGACTTGATCAGCGCACACATGCATGCACGTGTGTGCACGCGCGTGCGCGTGCAATGAGTAAAATGACAAATATACTTGATATAGCCATAACTTTCAACTCTTTTGATGAAATGCTTTGATACTCAGGATATCAGGATATATTAATAGTGTAGACAAGACGACATGGTCAAAATGCACATTCATGCACGTGTGCGCATGCGCAATGATTGAAATAACCTATACGAATGATATAGACTTAACTTGTATATTTTTAGATGAATTGCTTTGAAACTCAGAATATAAGTATATATTAGAAGTGTAGACGAGATGACATGATCAGCGCGCACATGCATGCATTTGCATGCACGTGCGTGCGCGTGCAATGAGTAAAATCACCAATATACTTGATATAGCCATAACTTTTACATTTTTTGATGTTATGCTTTGATACTCAGAATATATAGACATATTATAAATGTAGACAAGACGACATTGTCAACATGCATAGGCATGCACGTGCGCGCGCATGCAATGCTAAAATGACCAATATACTTGATATAGCTGTAACTTTTATACTTTTTGATGAAATGAATTGATACCCGAAATATGTAGATATATTTATAGTGTTGACGAGATGACACGGTCATCGTGGACATGCATGCACGTGCGCGCGCATGCAATGTGTAAAATGACAGATATACTTAATATAGCCGAATTTTTTTTTCTTTTAATGAAATTTGAATATAAAGATGTATTAAAAGTGTAGACAAGTTGACATGGTCATTTTGTACATGCATGCCTGTGCGCGCGTGTGTAATGCGTAAAAAAAAACCAATATACTTGATTGCCTTATTTAATGAAGCTTACAGGGAATAAGACACCAAAAGGAAGTTGGGGAGCGTTTGGGGAACATCTGTAACGGTCCCCGTTACAATTAATACTAGTTAGAATTGAATCTAAAATGTGGATTTAATCAAAAAAGTAGACATTCATCAAAACAAATCCTTTTCTGGTTTCTTTATACTTTGGACATATACAAAAATAATGATACTTATCTTCTGTTTTACCACATAAGTATTGGGGGTTTTAGATTAAATTGTTTCTTCTGTCTGAGTATATAATAATATAAAACATGATGAAAAGAAGTTGATATACTTGTGTATTTCTATACATATAACTGATACCTTTAGTACATTGAACTGTAGTGTTGATTCATATCTTTCCAAGACCCAAAACGATGTCGTATTGTTTCAAGTTCATTCTCTCTGTAAGTAGCAAATTTAAGTATAATCCCTTTAGTACTTATCATATGATGTCGTTCTGTCAGAACAGTAATATTTAGAATACACCGGCACATTTAAATTTGAAATCTTACAAAGACGAACTAGGAGCGGTTCAAGGTCACAGAGAAAGTTATATCATGTAAATTTTGAATTAACTAGGGGGGGATGCAAAATTTACAACCTCATCCTAGTAAATTCAAAATTTACAAAATGATAGTTAACGTCAGAGAATTATGACACATGAGTTTGATGAAAAGAATATCGTGAACAGTTTCTTTGAAAGTAACTTGAATACAATATGAGGAAAAGTGAGGCCAAGGTCATAGGAAAGGCCATGCAAGGTCAAAAAATTATGAAACATTTGGTATATTCTTTAGATATTTTTTGTTTTAAGTTTGGTTAAATTCTTTGAAACTGAGATAAACAAAAAATATGGTGGACGGATGGAAAGTTCATTTGAAAGAACGAAGGACATATATTATTAACAGTATATGCCTTAGTCATGTACATGGCGGGACAAAATTATGATCCTATTATTGGAAATAAACTTTGCCAAAGGGATATTTTGTTGTTATGATTCCCTTTGGAAAATTTCCTCTTTTACTATCATGAATTTTCTTTTTTCATATATAACTGTGTTCGAGCCCCCCCCCCCCCCCAAAAAAAAAAAAATATTCGGTTTTTTTTTATCTTTTGACCCAGGCTTAGTCTTAGTGTGTTTGATATTGCTTATGATATTTGTACATTAATCAGGGAATATGTTTTAGCATGTTAGAAAGTAAACCTAGCCATCATCGTGCTTTATTTCTAGGTTTAAGATATATTGCTGATGATTATTTCATCATGAATGTTGTTTCTTGTATTGTGAACCAGATACAAGGCGTGTGGGTATCACCATATTAGAAACTGCTTAAGGAGGGCCCTCATATTACTTGTACTTAAAAATTTATGAAATTTTCATAGTTTCAAGAAAACGTTATCACTAAGTGATAGTATCAATTAGATTAAATTTGACCATTTTATTTTAGAAGCAAGGTCAAGTCAAGGTCATTATCTTTTTCCTTGACATTAAGAATAAAGATTACTGTTGCCTATCATGTTATACCTACTTCTATTTCAAAAGATTTAATGTTCTTATTTTTGCATAAAAAGATGTTACCATAGAGGGTCTATCAGATGATACTACTAAACTGAAATAGATAATTTAACTAAAACAGATATCGGTTCATCCGAATTTCCTCTATTTTTGTTAAATTTTCAGGATCATATTAGTTATTTTTATATGCTTTATCTATTGAATTTTTTCTTATTTTTACATATGGTGAAGTTGTCATATAAAGCTACAAAATTATACAAAAAGTTTTGACAGTTTACTATGAGGGAAAAACACTCATTTACTGATTTTTGCTCAAATCTGTACTTAGATTGGAAGCTTTCAAAAGCTAACAAAATTACAGTTTGTTTGGAAAATCATTTTTATTTAATATATTTTAAAACTCTTGTCTATTATTATTAATTTTAGTTACATTTGAATATTCCTTTAAGTCTTTGATCGTTTAAAATATTTCACTAAATTCATTGTTCTGTATTAATTTTGAATAACAGAAAAAGATATTTTCATACGCCGCCGTTTCGCCAAAAATATAGTCCCTGCTAAACGTCAATCTCAGTTTATTATTTCCATTTAAAGTTGTGCAATTGTGATGAGGAAAGAAAAATAATTATGATCTTCTAAATCTCTTACATCCAAATACATGTATAAAAGACATTTAAGCAAATATACTTTGAATATTTCATCTAGTCAGAAACCAGACAAGAATCCCACCCTAACAAGGTCTATATCTATCAACTTGAGCCTTACTTGAACTGGAAGGGGAGACAAACATATAAGTGTATTAACCAATATTTCTATGTAATTATGACTTTTCATTGGTTCCCGGAATCTAGGGGAAGTCGGAATTACACGTCATTGACGACAAACAGGCAGACTGACAGACGGGCATCAAATAACTTTTGAAAGAAAAAGTCACGTGGGTTTCTTGCTCAAGTGAGCAAAGAACCATATACTAGTATTTACGGCCACTTTTCAAATTTTCATCTTTCAAAGTACGGTCTTTGATAATTGTGTAAAGTGTCGAAAAGTCATAATATTTTGGGGAAAATTTTATGATTTCAAATTGTTTTTGGAAGTTTGCGATAATCCACATTTGAAATACACTACCTCTTGAATATGTCGTCGCATATTGTGCCTGAAGTTTCTCCTTCAATATTAATACAGTTAATATTTTTGTAGGAGCTAAAAAATTGGTAGGACATTTACTGAACCCTGCAATGTATTTTAAATTTATTTGTAAAGAATTTTAAGAAGTTTTTGGAATCCAATGTGGGAACGGTATATCAAATTTTCTTCCGTGAGTTCAGAGTATTTAATGACTGAAATTGATGTACATGCTGTTAATAGTATTTAATGAAAATAGGAATTTAATGCTTAATTCTTATATACCTGGTAATTTGTAAGTCTCTACTGATTTTACAGCAATGTTTACCCTCCATATTTGGAGATTTAAAAGAACCTTCTTTGACTAATATAAAGCGGTACTTTTACTTAACAAAAGAGAAGAATTTCAGAGGAAAATGCCTTACTTTTGAGATTTGATGTTCTCAAATTCAATTACATGTATTTTACTTAAGAATAAGCATACAAGATTTACCAAAGAATTAAATATACATGAACTATACTCTTGGACATGGCTACAATACTTTGTAGTGTAAAATCAAAGGATGAAAAATATCCGTTTTTATTTGATTTCATGAAGCATTGGGTAAAAATCGTACTTATCATCTCATTATATCATTATCACTTCTTTTAAACTTCCTCATACCATAAAATAATGGGCCAATGACACAGTTTTCAAAGAAACAAGTACTTTTCCTATGTAGTTCAAATATATGATTTGATAAAAGTTCACAGGTCTAAGGAGTATGTTGTACATGCCCAACTGATAAACGCTTCGTGACCTAGAAATATAAACATCAATGAAGGTAACAAATAATTTATTCATAACAATGAGCATGATGAGCAAATACGATACAAATTAACGAAACATTGCCACAATTAGGACAAAAAGTACATTTCTTAATTACATAATTATGTACAATATTCACAGAAAAAGAACCTGAAGTTTAAAAGGGGCACCAATTTTCACGGGTAAAGCATATATTTATGATGCACATTCAGCACTAGAATATCTTTTTAAAAAATAGCATTATAAAATAATCAGTGGTCTTCAAATTCCTCATTCAACATCAACACAGAAATTTGGAATACGAAAAGAAAAAAAAAGCTTCAGTACGCATGCGTGTGTACATAACAAATCAACCTTCAAAACAACTTTGGCTTTTGTTCAGGGATTATCCCCTAGGCCGGAAATTTAGGATTGGGAAGAGTATTAATGACATAAACATATTTACAGAGTTCAAATATTCTATAACCGACTTTAAAAATCGAAGTGTTAAGAAAAGTATGAAAATCTTATGTTTAATTGCCATGTAGTTATTTTACAAAGTTATTTATTAATGTCTCGAGTAATGTGAAACTTTAACAATGAAACATGCATTAATGCATTTACAATCCAAAAGCATTTAGAAATTCATTTTTATTTTAATTGGAAAAATGCACTTTTTTACACCCCATTCCTCGTTTCTTTCCCTTAAAAAAATGACACAAAGAGCTATATAAAAATTCAGATATCAAAACTTTTAGAAAATGCTTCAAATAGTTTAAACATGGATGAACTTTATAAATCTGAGTAAAATGCAGTTTAAAGAAAATACAGGCGATTGTGCGAGTGATCCTGTCCATATTTCAGTCTTAATCAAAATGTAATGGTACCCATAATGGAATGGGGAAAAAATACTTTACAAAATAGAAACAAGTGAATGTCACGTGATAAGCAAGTAACACTTTGGTACCACTGATTTGCTAGGAATTTTTTGGTATCCAACCAAAATAGGTATAATTTCCTATTGAAAAAAGGGCAGATTTTTTTTTCACTTTCCAGGGAAATTTATTCAAAATAAGAATATATTCCTAAATAAGATTTACTTTGCATTGCTTTTTAAAAAAAACTCAACTAGATATGAATTTTAGTAAAACAACTGCAAATTTATTAACTGAAAACTTTTGACATTTTCAAAACCTTTAGGGGAGAAAAAGCCTTCACCTAAATACCTGGTAAAATCCAGATTTCCTAAGGGAAGAGTGATTATCATTTAATAAATTCAAGCAAATGATCATTTTATCATGTTGTAAATTTTGAATTTACTAGGTAAAGGTAAATGCAAGATTTACAACATGATAACCATGGTAATTTGATGCCCATCATGACATGGCCTTACTTAAATGCCCATAAATGTAATTTTCTGAATTTAAAGCAAACTGGCATTTTTTCACATACATGTATATACTAGTAATTTTCACTTTTGTCTCAAGTGCCCTCTACACAAAAACTGAAAACTATTTTCATGTATTTTACATGTGTAATGAATACAACTTTTAACATGTTGCATTTAAACAGTTTCAAAGTCAGTCAAATCTCTCTCTCTCTCTGTCTCTCTCTCTCTCTCACCACAAACAATATGGGAGATAATTAATATGTACTCATAGTAATAAATCAATAACATTGTCAATATAATTGTTACCCGATAAATGCATTTTCATTGATAAACCATCCTGTACAACAAAAAATATACAAAGCAATCTACTGTCCTTAAACACTTAAATTAGGCAGATGACTATGTGTTAATTTAAATGAATACCCGTAGACACTCAACAAAGCAAATAAATAGTTTCAATCTTGTCAAAAGCAGCATATTTCATGTCTGTAAAAAAATAAGTTAAAAACATTGAAAATCCATAAATTCCTTCTTTTTTACAAGAGTTGAATTTCTTAGATTTCTTAAATGGTTTGATCAATCAAAACAACCTGAGTCCTCTTCATTCAATTAAGTTCATTTTTCTTTATATACAATTTAAATCCTCAGGGAAAAAAACATCATAATGTGTTATCATAAATGCGCCTTCACATTTTTTTTAAAATCTCAAAACAAGAGACTACCATCCCTTGACTTAAAAAGATACAAAGATACACATCTTTTTTTTCAATTATAAGGAATGTTTTGTACCTTTCTAATGATGGGGACAAAAGTATTAAAATCCCCAATTCAACTCTTTCTTTAAAAAATCAAGTTGAAGTTTTAGGCAAGTTTGAGTTACTGTAGGGCTGATCTCACAAGCACCCTCTTCAAAATTTATAAGCCAAAAGTGCCCTGGGTGCCTTTTGATAAGACTATGATTTATATGGTAAACTGCATGTAGATATCAATTGAGTTCGATGAATGATAAAACCATATCTCACATTAAAACCTTGTCTTACATTAAAGATTTAGAATTTACGGAAGTAAAATCCAACTATACTACATCAAATTTTAAATTCTGTGAATTCTAAAACTTTAATAAAACATTTACAATATACAAAGGTATACCAGAGGTATAGGCAGTAATAATGAATTATAAATTATAACTGAACAATGAATCAACCGACAGGTATTTGTTTTCACTATTATTTTGTCTTATCATGTCTACCTCTATCTATAGTCCAAATCAATCTAACTTTTTTACTACTTCCTACATACCACACAAACTACGTCCGCTGACAACTACATGCCCATAAAAAACTAGCTGAAAACGAAAGATTTTTGGCATAAATATCTTGCTTCCATATAAAATTAAATGCAGTATGCAATTATCTCTAGCAATGAATACTATTTCATCGATGTTTTTCAAAACTCGAAAACAACTTTCTCCGTTGTTGCGGATCCCGAATCTGTTTGAAAGTCATTAGGAATCTGGGTGGAACTACAAACAGTCTGGCTATTCTGTGGCCCACCTTGTCTATTCATACATAAAACTAGCGCACTTTGGACTTGTCTAACATCTTCAAAATCGTCGCACAAGAAATCTGTTTCTTGTACTCTGACGTCATTTTCACAAAAGCTACCACCGAATTTCCTTTTTTCTGTGTCTAAGTCGTATAGTCTTTCATCACAGAAACTCCTACCATCATAAAGATCGTCGTTTAACACGCTGCCATCGAAGCGATACTCCGTAATGCTGCCTTCGAATTGACTTCTATTAATGCTAGCGTTGTCCGAACTCCCGCCCTCGCTAACGTCGTCATTGAGCGGTGTTCGCGCAGTATCTATAGTAACCGTTGTACACGTTGTATTCTCAGTGTCATTACGACGCCTGCGCGCTACTATCCTAATATTATTATTATGGTTATACTTGTTACAATTGATAACCTTATCAAAGCTGTTACTGAAATAGTAGGAGAGTTTGTAATAGATGAACGGCCGAATGGCCAAGTCTATAAGCGACACACATTCTGTAATTCTCGTTACTTCGTCCATTTTGACAAAACTTTGAATGTCGTGATGCTTTTCGAATTCTTCGTAAGTCACTTCACCGTTGTTGAATCTGTCAATCAAATCCTTCACCTTCCTGCTCTTATAAAACTCATACAGCTTCACAACGATCAAGGGAAACTTAAACAACGCAAAAGTTACGATCAGGATATTGACCATCATGGACAAGCGGCGTTCCTTCCTCGAGTAACTCTCGGTGAAGTACTTTTTGGACCAGAAGTATGTAAGGAGATACATTAAAAATATCAACAACAGCTGGAAAAAGAACGAGAAGGTAACATAGAGCCATAGTTTCACCTCTTCACTCACCCCGATGTCCGAATTTGCTTCTACGCAATTTTGAGTCAGTTCGTCTTTTTTCGATGAGAAAATGTTTGGAATATTTGCAAGAAATGTAAGAATCCAAAGTGCTATGCATACTACGTATGTGCGATTGACGAACTTCCTCGAGTGCCCCCTGTCAGTCAGAAGCAGAAGGCGCGTTATACTCAGTAAGGCTATACCGAAGGCAGCCACAAATATACTGACTTCGCTCACATATACACTAACTTTACAATATTCTGTGGTGACTAAATCACCATTGTCTGTCCACTGAATGACGTAAAATGGTACCTCCGACACCATGCGCAAAATATCTGCAAGAGCTAAGCAGCCGATGACCACAAACAACGGAATTTTAGGGTATTTCACAAAAACTAGGGTTCCTAACACCATGCCGTTGCCCAGGATACATACTACTGCTGCGGTTACTATGACGACACATCGGACGATGACGGTGATTTTAGACGGCTTATCCTCGTCGTCCATGTCTTTTTTTCTTACTTTACTGTCAAATTTTTCATCTAAAAAATGTAAAAAGTAAAATCTAAACAAAAATACCAAACTTCGGCTATCTGCTTTAAACAAATGCCCAGAAATTTACGTACAATTTTTTAGAAACAAAAATGAATTAACAAATGGAAAGTAAAGGGGAATTCTTGTATTGTATCTTGGCCCTAAGCCCAACTTACTAGTAACAAAATTTCATCAAACTGTGTTGACAAATTGCTGATGTATATGTTTTTAAATTTTTGTCCTGAACATTTTGCCCCGTCTAGATTTGCAGTAGACTAGTTTATATCACCCCCCCCCCTTTTTGGGGGCATAAGAGTTTTAAAAAGTGATTCCTTTCTCCCCCACCACACCCCCAAAAAATGGTTTGTAGGGGTATAAAAACGTTAATCCATATTTATTTTTCCCTGAAAAAATTTCATTGTAGCCTCTATCAAACTCAGCGACCATCGCTCATGACCTTCAATGCTGGTTTCAAATTGGTACAGAGATGACGTGCATATTGATCATTTGTTGATGTATTTAAGGAGGGATTCTTCTCATATTTCTTGTATTAAAAAATTAATGAAATTTTCATAGATCAAGAAGACATTATCATTAAGTGATGGTATCAACTAGATTTAAATTTGACCGTTTTATTTTAAAAGCAAGGTCAGGTCAAGGTCATTTTCTTTTTCCTTGACCTCAAGAATAAAAAAATACTGTTGCCAATCATGCGACGCCTACTTCTATTTCAAAAGATTAAATGTTTTTCTTTTTGCATAAAAAGATATTACCATACAGGGTCTATCAGATGATGCTACCAAATTGACATACATGTAGATAATTTAGCTAAGATGGATATTGGCAAATCCGAATTTCCTCTATTTTTCTTAGATTTTTAGGATATATATTAGTTATTTTTATGTGCTTCTTATATTTAAATTTTTCTTATTTTCACATATGGTAAAGTAATCATATAAAGATACAAATTGATACAAAAACAAAATGTTTTGACCGTTTACTAAGAGAGAAAAAGCACTTTTTACGGATTTTTGGCTCAAATCTGTACTTAGATCGGAAGCTTTTAAACGTTAACAAAATTGTAGTTTGTTTGGAAAGTCATATTTATTTGATATATTTAAAAACTTCAGACCATCATTATTAATTTTACTTACATTTGAAATTTTTTTTAGTCTTTCATTGTTTAAAAAATTTAACTAAAATTCATTTTCTTCAGTAATTTTGCAATGCAGAAAAGGAGATATTTTCATACGCCGCCGTTCTGCCAAAAATATAGTCCCTGCTAGATTTCAAACTCAGTTTACCATTTCTATTTAAAGTTGAACAATTATGATGAGGAAAGGAAAATATGATCTTCTCAATCTCTTACATCTAAATATATAAGACACATAAGCAAATATACTTTGGATATTTCATCTAGTCAGAAACTAGACAAGAATCCCTCCTTAACTACATTTATTTCTTTGTTTTTTTATTCATTAAATTATTCATTTATTTTTTTACTACATTCAAAGAAAAAATTCAAAAGTACAGTTTTACTTTAAACCATATTTTATTTGAAATATACAAGCATATAGTACAGATCAAACAGGATTCGAAAACAAATTTGAAAACTTATATTAATCCGTCTCCTGATAATTTGTTGAAGTAACAGAACATAATTCGGCTGTACAGAATAATGCGCTTGAGATGATTATAATACAAAAAAAAAATAGTGTTTAAAAATTTACATGCATGCTGAAATTAGAAAAAAAAACAACAGATCAATTAAAAGTAATGTTAGTATTAAATTTACAGATGACTAAATAATTGAATGTCGGAAAAGAGGAAAAAAAGTGTAGTTTTATTTGGTATTTCCTCAAAACTTGATTAATTAAGAAAAGGTATGTACTGAACCTTGGGCATTATAAAAGTCGCACTTGTAAAGGTCTTTCGATCAATTGTACTTTTCAATTACAAACGGAATTAGTAAATGAAGTTCAGAAGTATAAAATTATGTCATTAGTTAATTTTCCTAGTAAGAAAAATATCTTTACATGTAGATTTTTTTCTTTTGGATTTATCATACGGGTAATTCCAAAACCTTTTATATAACGTTATTACCCACACTAATTCTGTCTATTCTACCAAGTTTCATTTAATCATATCAGCTGAGAGTAAGACTCCAAATTACTTATTATTTTTTTTTTCTTTTTCTTTTTTTGTTCTTTTAAAATTTATTTTTGCAGCACTTTGTATAACAATAAAATTAATTAGAATAACTTTGTAATCCCTATTAAAAAAAATATAGCAAAAACTTTCTTAATTTAAAAATATATATATTTACGTAAAATAATATGAAATAAAATTAGGTGTGGATTTAGCAAAGAGAAATATGTGCAAAATAGGGAGGGGGTCATACAATTTCACAGCTCCCGGATATATTTGAATGTCGGGCGAAATCCTTTGCACACTTCAACAGTGATTTTTTTTTTAAATATTATAATTTTTCTTTTTTTTTTTCCTAATATTTTTGTAAAATAAAATTTAAAAAAAAATCGCATGGTTTAACATTAATCTATTGTTAATGCGTTTATCTATATTTTCTTCTTGAAACCCAGACACGTAGCAGACTAATGCGTCACATGCCTGTGTTGCCGCCCAAACATGTGACCTATTTATGATTTGGAACGTTTTCTGGAAATGTGCCGAGATAACTCATCTTACTGCGCATTCCTTATTCTTCAGTCGATAGTGGAAATATTTTTAAAACATTCATTGAAAACTTTATCCCCATGAATCTATTTGATATCAATAGTAAATCACTAGTCTACACCATGTACATTAATGCAGCATGTTTACAACTATATAAATAATGCTGTTCAAAATCGACCTACTAAAACTCGACACGTCTCTCATTTAATGACCCGCGATCACTGTGTCCATTAAAAACCTTTAATCATTCAGAAAAATATTTTGCACACCCAAGTGGTGACATTTCGCAAGCTAACCAAATAAACAGACCTCTCATGGCTTTTTGTTTACATGCGTTTAGCTCGAGGCTGGAATGTCGGTCAGCGTTTTGTTTACATTTTTCTTGTAAGAAAAAGTTGGGCATGGTTAAGTAGACGATTCTTATATTCTCCAATTTACAATATATTTTTGCTTATATGTTTTCATGAATCTATCTATTAATGATTGGATAACCTTATTTACAAGATATATATAGACGAAATATGTTTATCCTCGGCGACCTTAAAATTACATGCACATAAGATAGCTTAAATCTTTGCAATTACTTGTTAAAAAAAGTCATCACTGCTCTTAATTTATCACAATTAATGATTTTCAAAGACAAAATTATCGTTATTTATGAAAAATCCTGCAAAACATGATATTACAAAACATATCGAGGTCAACACTCGGTCACGACTGTTGTTATTATTCCTTTAATCCACTACACATGACAACAGCACATAGTTTTACAAAAATACGAAAAACCTCGCGTTTTAACGTGGATTTTTAACTGTTTCTGTTAAATAAGGTATGTTTGCAACTTACAGAACTACAGAATTTCCCCAAATATCCTATGATAATCCCAAAATGTTTAAAAACATGTTTACACTTCCAATGAGCTTTTCATCACTACACTGAGCTGGAATAGTGACCTACATGGAGATGCGCATGCGCATGTAAATAAATTATTCGTATGACGGAGCGCGTAAAATTTCATGAATGAACATTGAAAACAACAACAAAACATTTTCAATTGAAGGCATTGGTATTCAGAAATATAAAAAATATATATCTGGACCTAGTACTTAATTCAATAAACAATTTTAAAGCTGTATCGCTAGTTGTATGTATTTGGTATTAGCAGAGGTTTTGGCACACGTCCAAGTACCACATGTTTTCCTTTTATTTTCATTGGTGGCGGATCTTGTTACGGAATTTTTTTTTAACATTTAGCAGAGTATCATTTTTTTTTTTCAATCAGAATTATAGATTTAGTCTTCTTATTTTTACAGTAATAAATAGTTTCGGTTCGGTTCTGAAGAATGACGCAAGACCAACGCAGAGCTGCCATGTGTTATTTATATACCAGTTGACCCAGTTTTTAACAGAATTGACTTGATCATGTTTATTGTAATATCCAATGTACATGTTATACGAATAATATTCTGTGCCGTCGCCTGAAATTTTTTTCATAACTGGGTACCATTTTGGCGGGTTATGGTGCATACTTGAAACTGTATGTAATTTCTTTACATATCAAATAAACAAAATCCTTAAACTTTGTAAATAGATATAAATGAAGTTAAATTTAATTATTTGTTCAATATTTTTTTAAAGGTGTCGATTGCCTCCGACCCAACGCACCCCCGTTTCAACGGTCTTGAATTATTATTATACTCTATATAAAAACAAGCACAAAACTATTAACTAAAGCACCAAATGTATAACATGCATGCATGTGCGCTTAAACGAAAGATATAATTATTCTAAATAAAGTAAGATGTACAAAAGTACTCTTTGCCAATTTATATCAAACGCTTCTAAATTAGACGGTTGGTTTGCCGAATTTCAGATCTATTTGTAAATAAATGCCGGTGGCTGATCGTTTCATAAATGGAACTGTATATTGTTTAAAAAAAACAAACTAACCATTATCCATGTAGAAACACGTAGTGCATTCTGGTATGGGACCAATATTCAATCAAATTCTTACCCTCCTCGGAAAATGACCTTCCGCTGAAATGTAAGACAGCAGGCCCGTAAGAAGCAAATTCAGTTGTGGTGGGCACTACCAAGGAAAATTTCCTTGACAAACAAATAATTTAACAATAAAAGAGGTCATCTGAAGGAACCATTGAGGGTGCGCATCCATGTTTTTTATATACAGGCATGTAGTATATACTCTATAAAGACATTTTGTATATAATTTGCAGTTTGTATATTATGAATATATATATTATTTATGTACCCATGTACTAATATTTTAGTTTGGGTGAATAAATTGAACTTGACAAAATAATTGGAGGCAAGCGCCCCCCCCCCCCCCCCGTGTTCCTACGGTCATGCAAACATCCGTGCCCTAAGATGCATTTACCTAAACCTAAATGTTAAATAGTCATGGAGAAAATACACATACATTAACACAAATAAATCATTTTTATCAAGTTCTAACTTAATTAAGCAGCTATTTTTATCGATCAGTAAAAATTACGAGAAAATATATATATATATATATATGGTCTAGCAGTCTTAGAACTTCGTTATAGTAGAAAACTTTGTTTATCACATACTAGTTACGGACAAAAGGGGATGATGTGGGGAGATTATCCTTTTTTTTTCAATTGATGCGTGTTATAAAGGCTGGTTGCATGTGTCTTTTATATCCCCCCCCCCCCCCCTCATCAACACTCAAAATAAAGGCACTTTTATATTGGAAATATTTACATGTATGTTGATTTTTTTTTAATTTAAATTTTGTTTCTAATATCAAGATAAAACCATCCAGAGATGTATACATTATAATAGATGTCCCTCACCATCCCATCCAAAGTTTCCTGTGGATCTCTATCTACATCACATAACGTTAGAGGACGAAGCGAAAACACACCTCAAGGTCATCAACATAGGAAAACATAATAATCCCGGACTATTTACAGAGTGTATCCTGTTAAAAACAACTGAAAAACATAGGAACAATAATTTACTAACATTATATTGTATTACATTTAAACAGCTGGGTCAAACAAACGTGCGGAACTTATAAGCAAAAGAGGGATTGTAATCTGTATTTTGATATTAAATGGTCCTCGGTTTGGTACTCACTTTGTTTATTTGGGATCATGTTTTTTCCCTATGTTTCCATAATAAATTTCTGCCTACGTGACCAATTAGATATAATTGTTAAACCATTTAAGATGCTGGTTCGTGGTTTTGAATACGCGGATCATTGATGTGAAATTGGCGACACTGAAACAAGATACGGAACATAAAATAAGTTTTAAAATGAAATTTTTACAAGATTTGTCTTTTTTGAATTGAGAAGTAGTGAGTATATATTTCAATAATCGAATATCTCAGAATACCGAAATTTTCATGCAGATGTAAAGCTTTGGTTGAACACTGTTATCTTTTTTCATGTGTCATATACTTATCCTGCGAACCTTAAATTTCGTGTTCTATTTTTTAATCTTCAGGTAAACGCATAAACTCAAGCATGCAGAAGATGAATGAACGAGTTCAATAACTATAATGCATGTAGTTATTTACCTCATTCAAATACGTGAGAAAGGGGTATTCTTGAATGGACACGCTTGCGTTCGATATCCTTATCACTATTTCAAGGTTAAAATGCAGAACAAGACATTAGGAAGACTGATAAATGTATAAGTAAAGACTTGGGTATACATGTATTTACGACACTATTCACTATTTTATTCCATTTATGAAGGTGCCTAGATAAATTTTCGTGAAATATTTCACATGATATAAAAAATAGTAACAAACAAGTAAACAGAGTCACTTTTTTTTCAATGTCGATTTCATGGGTAATAAAAGTGAGGAACGCTTTATTGTGAAGAAACTGAAGATATCTTAGCATCTTTTCAGCATTTCAACAACTTTGTCTAATCAGTAAAAAAAAAAATTAAATTTCTATCAAAAAAAATATGTACGATTGTATCCCTGAGACACGTTACAAAATTTGATTTGGACATGAAATATACTCGTAGTTTTTATGAAAATAATTGGCATAGTAATTAACTGGGTATGCACGCCCTGCTTTCTAAATTAAAATATTTTGTATATAAACTTTCTTTAAATTAATATACATAAAAATTAGCATAATATGCATATACATATACAATGTACATGTATAAAATACACGTATGTAAATTTTATACATGTACATTACATTACATTTACGTTGACCATCGCTTTAACCTTGATCATGTTTATACCTTTTGACGATATACAGCGTCATAATTCACGGCTTATACATATAACCTATATATCGAGTAAGCAACATTTGCGTACATTTGGACAGAGGTTCCCGAATGACCGGAAGGTTTCTGACATTTTTATTTTCATTGAGAGCATCATTCTTCTGACCACATAACTTCGTCAGAGGGACTCCGTCATGGCGAAATCCCGTGAATGGGATACGGAATCTGAGTCAAGGTGAACGTTGTTTTGTTACGGATTAACAACATTAACTTGTACATGTAAATATACATACTTGTGTTCAGTACATGTACATGTAGACTTGGGGCACATGCGCATAATTTTTAATTGTTTGTTGTTTTCGCCCTCTATACCTCCCGAAGTCAGTTTTTGCAAAATAATTTCAAATTCAGAATATTGAAAATCTACATGGCTATTTCAAACATCAGTTTAAAATTTTTATCAGCAATAAAAGAAAAATCGTAGTTCACTGGTAAAATTAAAGTTTGAGAACATTTCCATTTAAAATATAGTTTAATTTCTCTGTTTTAGAGACAAAACCCGTAAGAAATTGCAGTTTGATTGACTTAAATATTCTCATTTGGGTTTTTTAAAACAATTAACTAAAATGTATTCTACAACATTCATCAATGCTGTTTTTACAATGTTTACAATATATAAGCTCCAAAATGTAGGTTTCGTGGCATCAAATCACATTAAAAGACTCCCATTTTGATGCTAAATATTGATCTTGGGATTAAGTTCGGATCTCATTTCAATAATTGCATTTCTGCAGCACATGAAACTAGCTGGTAGACTGCTTTCAATAGCATTTCAACCCCCAAGAAGCAAAGTTTGTTTCTAGTTATTTCGTATTTAAAGACATCTTACAAAGGAACCCTAAACTGAAAATAAAATGCAAAAATAAATTAAAGACTCTTAACTTTTTTGGTTCAAGAGAACAGTCCCACTGGAACAACAACACACTGGACATTTCGAGGAGAGGCTAGAATAAAGGGGCCCAAATCTCACAAATACAATGTAATACAGTCATATGTCTAGTGCAGGGTGAATAAGCATGCAGCATAAGAAAGTTATAACTTGGCTAAGCGCTGAATACGGTCACTATATGAGAAACATGGTAGGGTTCAAGGTCAAAATCCCATCCCACTTGACGTATACATGCTCCTCCCTGCCAAGTAAGTGAAAATAAGTCGTGAGAACTATTCGTGTACTCTGCATGCTCTAGCTGCTACATGTAAAACACAACGTCTCATGCATGTAATGTTGCTCTCAGGTAATTAATTCAGATTTAAACGCTTATTAGGTCATTTTTTTCTCTCGAGTTCTTATATTACTTACTTAGATGTGACTCTGAGTAATTCTTAATTTTGCAACCCCGACATTGAAGGGGACATGGACACATTTCGAAATTTATATCCATCAAAAGTTTAGATTGAATTCCATGTCTTATACTTCTTGCGAGAGCGATATATTATAAAAGCGTGTTTTAAAAACTACTTTTTCTGCAAACTATAATTTCAGGAGTGTGTGATTGTCATATTTTTCTTTGCACTTCCACAAACTAAAATATACTAGTATCTTTAATATATTTAAGAAAAGCGAGAAATTTGTGATGTATCATATATGTATTAAAACTATAATCAAGAAAAGTCAGAATAGAAATGAAAGAAAGCAACATCAACATATCAGTGACTATGAAGGGAATATATAATGATTTATAATGAGGATACAAATGCATGGGTGGATCAAAGGGGCCTGGGCACTATTAAAAAATAACTTCAGTTGAATGAATTGAACTCTTAAACGAAAATTCTTAAAATTCAGCGACAACTGCATTTCTTCTTAATTTAAACGAGATCAAACAACTGTGTTAGAAAATATGGACACGTGATCTGTTATTTTTAGTGTTTACGTTTTACAGGGTGGATGCTCAATTTGTTAACTCTGCACACAGATTTCTACTCTGAATTTTCTGGATTATAGTTCTTATATTTTTCATAAATACTCAACACATTTTCCATTTTTCCATTTTCCATTTTCTTTTAAATACTAAGAATAAAATTAAATTTTCCTTCGCGAAAGTCTAAAACGAGTCCCGAAATTAATTATCAGATAAAAAAGTCTCTAACACGCTTTAATGATATATTGGTCTGTAATGCCCTAGCAACATGTAAATCATGGTATACCGAGAGCCTTAGATAATATTAACTACAAATCTGTGTCCAAGCCCCTTTAAGGATATCCGATCCTCAGCCAGGAAGGATAACTCTTAAATTTATTATTTTATTTAAAAAGTCTCAAAATGAAGCTTGAAAATGAAATCTTTTCGTGCAACAATTTTTATTTTATGTATCTCAGTATGATTCAAGATTCCTTGAAGTCTTAGAAACAGGCTTGTAAAAAGTTGACATTCATACCACATAAAAGAAAAAAGATAAATTCATTATTAGAGAAATCGAATTTCCTTTAAGGTATTCAATGTATAACGACCATATTTTATACCTAATTAATGAATGGTCCATGGTTTTTGATTATGGTAGCAATATGAAGGTGTTATTAAATAAAAATGCTCCACCAGAGGAATTTACCAAATTTTGATTATTGTCCAATCAATTGCACCTTGAGTTTAACATTGAAGTTTATGGGTAGCGCATGTTTTTTTAAGATATTGTAAATAGTAATTTAAATTTGAATCAAATCTCTTGGTGAAAATATGCATAAACTCTCCCTTTATTTAACTATGAAATAAAATGAAACATTTACCGAAGATATTTCGACAAATTTTTCTCTTTTTCATCAAGGGCAGATAACTCTTCAAAAACTTTTAAGGAGCAAAATGACCGGCTTCTTACATGTTATCAGTCTTGTGAATTTGGTTCATTTCACTTTTATTGTTATCTAGCATTGCATTTTTAACTAGTTTAAAATCATTCAAAATTGTTCAAAATCCCTTCCTTATACATCGAATACCTTAATCTAGCAGTAGATATCAATGCTTATTAGCATGATATGAAATTAGATGTGATCTGTGATGTTTAGCAATGATAACACAAGCATTTTATACTACGTATTATGTAACAATTGAAGTAAATAGAAGAACTAAAATAGTGTATAAGCATAAAAAAGATGCAGTTTTCTCCAAATGCCTGGATACCAATATCTTTTAATCCTAAAATATATTTGTTGATCACTTTTCAAATAGAAAATGCATAGCTGGTGTTTTTATTCGCTTTTCCTGAAAATATATTTGAAATTTGATAATCTTCCCTATATAATATGATAAACTTTAATGATGAACTTTGACGAAATACCATGTGGTAAATTCACGTTACTCTGTGAAATCAGAGACATTTTTGTGAGCATTTTCAATTTCTTAAAAGCTGATTTTCGGAACCTTAGGATCGGACTACCTTCAGAATTTTTGAGAATGCAAAATTGAAAAATTGACGCACAAATGAAAAATGGATGAATGAATGAATACCTCGATCAATAAGTAAATAAAAAAAGATAAATAAGAAAAATCAAAACTAACTAAATTGATAAAATGTACATGTTGTCCTTTGTTACCAGGTTGGTATAAAATGCATACATGTACATTCCTCAACAAGGAGCAATAACTCTTGAAAATATAATACAGACCATGTAGAATTAAAATCATTTTTATTAGCACATTTTGAACATGCAATCCATTATTTCTAAATACGATTCATGATATTTTTCAATTAAACGTGAATTGAATTGGTAGTAACTGTACTTAAACCAGAAGTCTCTGACGAAACTTTAGCTCTACTGGCGTGTACTTTTGATAAATGAAGGTGAATCTTAGTATAGTCTTCTTGCGTAAAAAAGTCTAATCAGACCAAAAGTGACGGAGGAGTTGTGTTTTAAAAACCGTCAAAGAAATTTCCATTTTAGTAACCATGGTAACACCATTTGTCGACATCAAAAATCGATATATAGAATTTTATATCTTATAGAATAGTCTACTTTCTGTACCCATTCTTATTAAAACTGGACCAAAACTGTAGAAGGAGTAGCATTTTGAAAGAATTTCAATGAATTTTCTATTTTTTTAGTAACCATGCCAGAACCGTTTGTCGAAATAAAAAAAAAACATACACAGAATTGTGTATCTTAGTATAGTCTACTTGTGTACCAAGTCTTATTGAAACTGCATGGACCAAACTGTAAGACACCTTACCAATGCATAAGCTCTTCTGGTCTCTGACCAATAGAGCTAAAAATTAAAGAGAAATTTGGTACTAAACTTTGTTTTGTATTTGTTGCGGATGCTAATGACACAATGCTTACCCCCCCCCCCCTCCCCCAATTAAATTTCTCATTTAAATATCTTAAAATTGTTTATTGTGCTGTACATCGTCTGTAGAAATCATCTGCACATCATCAACACGTGAAAACTTTGCAGCCGATCTGATGCTGCAGTGCATCAATATATTATCTTTTTTTGTCCTTTTTGAAAAAGAGATTACCATAGGCGCCCAGTTTCAGGATTGTATATTTTGTGTATTGTGTGTTTGTTTCGACACTGATTAAATTAAAAATAAAAACCGCTGAAATTGGCAGTTTTTAAGAATATCGTATTTCTATGTACATACATTATTGTAAATACTAATTTCAGCGATTTTCGATTTTTATTTTAATCAGTGTACTTACACAGATATAAAACACACACACACACACACACACACACACACACACACACAATATTAGTACAAAATACTCCATCTTGAAATCCAGCGCTTAAAGACAATATATAATTTCTTCTAATGGGGGGCAAGGGGATGCGCCAGACGCCTCATTCCTTAAATCTGCCACTGAAAGTTTAGAGTGATTCAAGTGTAAGAAGCAGTTGGGATGCATAGATGTTGCTTTAATGAAATATAATGTCATCATAATTTTGAGAGTGAAGCCAGTTTTTTCTTCTAATCCGCCTCGATAATTCTGATTTGATAATTAATGGAAAATTCTGTTACATTCAGAGACACAATGATTCGACAGACGATAATTATGCATTTTGCTCAAACACATATAAAAAGAATCAATAGGAAAAACATTTTTTATAAAAAATTGATTTGTTGCAGCATTTTGAAAAACGACTAGACTAAACAATTGGCATGATTGCTGACAATGTTCATATTTAACAATGCACCAGCGTTGTTTTTGTCAACTAAGCGCGAGCTCATTCACGCGTGATTGTGTGGATCATGGGACAGCTAGCTAGGTTTCATATATACGCAAACTAGGCCATTTATTTTGGAAGGTAAGAACAGATTTTGTTTAAGGTTGTTTCAATCTTGAGTAATTAGCACGCGCTTCTTAACGTATTGTGAATCATTGAAAACATTGGAAATACTAGTTATAATTATTTATACGTAATCCCTTATGATCAACAGTTTTGCAATTTTCTTCCCCAAAAACATAGGCGTGAATAACAGCTGAAAATTAATTGACATGAACCGATTTGGAGGTGTATACAAAGACGAAAATGTCGTCTGTTCCACAACCTGTGAAATTTACATCCCTGCATCCTTACCGGAATCGAGTACCTCTGTACTTAAATGTGAGCTGCATTCGTTTGGACATTGTGACGTCTATCTGATTCAAACTGCCGGACGTTCGGACACTGCAACGGGGTCGATTTCGGACTTACCAGGACAACAAAAGGTCAAAGGGTGCACTTAAGTAGCATTTCTTATGCAGAATGTCGTCATCTACCATTCAGAACTACGCTCACGTGTTAAGAATCGCTAATATGCTATATCTACACCTTTGTACGATTGCATTTTTGTTTCACGCAAAGTATTTATTTTGTCACATGAAAGACATAGGTATGAAATTTCATCTTCAATGCATAAATTATTCTTTTCCTGCTCAATTGAAGTGATGAACATGTAATGCGATGAGACGGAATTTGAATTATTTGTGAAATTTTATCAAGTCTCTTCGCACTTTTTTTTTTAGTATTTACAGTGTACTATATCAATTTAATTTCCCTAACTTCTATCTGTATAGCATGTCAACGTTCGATAATGTAAATAATTAATACATTCTTTTACACATAATAAATGATTACCGAAGATAAACATTCCACGCCATTTTGATTATCTTCATCTTCATGGAAGAAGTTGAAATTCTGTAACTTTTCAGTGTTTACACTCTCTTTAATGTACGGTAATTTATAATTGAAAGGACGTTGATTTCGTCGAGAGTAATTCTATTACATTTACACTGTGTACGTATAATTAATATCTTTAATTTCAAGACATTTTATCAAATTTTAATGTTTATACACTGTACTGATACTGGAACTTCAGGGGCGGATTCCAGGAATCGAAGATAGAGGGGCGCCAGCTGATAAACGCCTTAAGGTCCTAATTGGGTGCAGGTCAAAGCCCTTGTAGGGACATAGGGAGCAACGATTTTGGAATCTAAAGATTATATATTGCAAAATGAAGTCTTTTATGATTTAGATTGACTTTGAAAATTATAAGGAGGCACCGGACGCGCCCCTTAAACCCGCCAATTTGCTTTTATTAACACATAGAGATACAGGGTTGACAGAGGTTCCAGCCTGCAAATTTGAGATTAAATACCTGAGGACGGACTTGAATTTGAACATTTCTTTATATTTTTTCGCAGTTACATAGGGATGGATTTGAACACGTCATTTTACTTAAATTTAGTAGTAATAGATATAGATTGACCTCAACTTCAACATTCATGCTATTGTTAATAGACGATTATAGACTAGGACTTGAACTTTCCTTAAATTTTTGCAATAGATAAGAATGAATTTTGGACTTGTATATCTCATTATATTTTCGCAATAGATAAGGCTAGACTTGACCATTCCATTATATTTTAGCAATTGAATAAAGATACATGTATTAAGGATATATAAAGACTTTAACATCTCATTGTACTTTTGCAATAGAAAAGGATTGACTTGAACGTTTTATTTCATTTTTGCAATAAGGATACTAGTACACTTGAAAATCGCATTGTATTTTTGCAATAGATAAGGATGCATGGACTTGAAGGTTTCTTTCAAGTTTGCAATAGATAACTAAAGATGGACTTGTACGTTTCATTTCAATTTTGTAATAGATAAGGATGGACTTGAACGTTTCTTTTCAATTTTGCAATAAATAAGGATATATTTGAACATCTCATTGTATTTTTACAATACAGATAAGGATGGACTTGAACCTGAACAACATAGTGGACGATAACCTCCATTACACGAGGAAGGACCAGTACTGGTACGAATTCTCCAGACAATACGGCCCGAAAGAGCGCTTTGTGACCGTCCATTTCTGCAAAGAGGACGAACACTGTGAAAAGTTCTTAGAGCTGTTACAAATCTCCATCAGAACTCTGGAGGACTGCAGGCAACGCCATATACAACCAGAAAATGGTTAGCACATCTTACTATGACATTAAGTTTAATATGCCAACGAAAAAACAACAACAACAACAACAACAAAAATCAAACAAAAAACAAAACAAAATCAACACAAAAAGACTTGCCATAACTCCATAGTCAAGCATTAACCTTAAAATTTTGCAGATCAGCTTTGGGGAGGGGGTGGACGTTGATGAAATGGTAGGTTTTAATGAATAAATATATACCCGGTAGCAGTATTTCCCATCTGAATTGTAAAAGAATGAGTCCAAAATCACATGAACTCATAAACTACAGTTCGCGTACGGGGTTTCGACGGCAATTGTAGAGAACACTCTTGACTCGCAAAAGGAGATGGGCGAACATAGCGTGCAGAAAGCCTATAGCTTCAGATATATAAAAATCATGTTCAATGGGAATTTAGTATTTAGAGTAAAGTTCTCTTTATTGAAATTTATGAAATTATGATAAACAAAACTTTTCTGGGAAAAATTTTCTCTGCAAAATTTATTCTTTTATTTAAGAAAAAATATGTGGTATTCGTGGGGTTCGAACCCTAGCAATAAAAATCCTGGGTATCATTTTCTTTCAAGACTAGCACTCTAACCACCAGACTATACAAGACCTGATGAATAGTGGCATTTAAATCATGTTTGTGATATGACCATTGACTTAATGGACTTCAAGTATTTCTCGAAAAGATGCGAATGATATGTCATAAAAGTATATTTTTAAGGTATAGTGGGTCTTTGCTCCATAGTTTTGGAAACCAAAAAAATGTATATTTTTATGCATACTTCGAGGATTAACTTTAAAAAAAAAAAAATGGAGCGAAGACCCACTCGTATCGAAAAATAGTGTTTTAGTATGAAAAATGATTCTTTTTGCCCTCTTTATTGTGTGTACAATATTTCATAAGCAAATAATTTCAATCTTTGTGAGATTTTGCAAATTAAAGAGATTTTACACAAAGTATATTTTAACGTTAGATGAAATATCAAGGAAAATTTTGATATAATTGAGATTTAATTTTTCACCTTCATGTTTGTCACACTATAGGCTTTTCGCTCGTCATGTTCACCCATCTTCTTTATCAAAAAATTAATTTTAATGTCAATATATATACATAACTTTTCTATGAGACGTCTAAGGCTCAGTTTTCAGCAGATTTTTATCTATTATTATATAAGTCACAACATTTTGAAATCTAAAAGATATGTTTCGCACATGATTTTAATTTTATTTTCAGGACAAAGTCTAATATTTCTGTGTTTTTTCTCTTCAAATTAAGTCAATAGATTTACTTTACATTTAAGATTATCGTCTCATTGCCTATGAAACTACTGGGAAAATCTTTGTTCCTAAGACGTCAAGCCTAAAAGAAACAGACTTTGATTTACCATTTGAATGTGTTTTGGAAACGAATCGAGAAAAACATCAAAAACACTGGGCAGAAGAGCATGCTGTGTTTACCCACATTATTTCCCCAAACTGGAGGCCAAAACGAAAGACCACCATGCCCAGTAAAGGTCAGTATTTCAACAGTTGATATCCACCCCATCCAACCCCACCTTCACACATCGAAAAAAAAAGAGAAATTTTATTTTTTTAATTAGTATAATGAATAAACCGATTTTTACTTCTGTTCTTAAAATGTGTTTCTTTTTTTTTTCAGAGAGATCACACCATCATACATTCGGCAAGGTTCTTGAAAATATACAAACGCCTGACAAGTCTCAGCGGTATCTTAATTGTCAGAAATGTTCGGAGTCCTTCGATCTGGAAAATAAACAACCCAGGCTTCTGCCTTGTCTCCATACATTTTGTTTTCGCTGTATAAAAAATACAAAAATAGGCAATAAAGTACGATGCACAGTTTGTGACATAACACATGACGTAATGGACATGGACAAAGATTGTCCAAGAGATGACACGAGGTTTGATTTGATAGAATATTGTAAACTCAAGGATGGAAACCAAAATTTGTACTGTAGTGTATGTCCAAATAAAGTTGCAACGCACAGATGCACAAATTGTGCGGAATGGCTGTGCTCTGAATGTGAAGAGGCACATAAAAGAGTAAGTGCTACAAAGAAGCACATCTTACTGTCGACTGAAGACATGAAACTTGCAAAAAATCTAGAAGGGTTCAAAAGAAACGTGATGTGTAAACGTCATTCAGAAAATTGTCTCAAATTTTACTGCACAACAGAATCTTGCCAAGAACCCATGTGTGCAACGTGTGCTTTGGAGATGTGCGAGGAGCTAGATGCGCACAAAACCGTAAAGGTTGAAAGTATTGTCAAAGAAAAGCGGGAAGATATTGTAGCTTTGATGGACAAAGTGGAGAGCATTGTACATGACGTCTCAGCAACTATCGAACGAATTCATTCGGAGAAAAAGAATATAGAAGATAATGCTGAACGAGTCGTCGAAAATATTGATTCAAAATTCGAAAGTTTGATGAAAATAATTGAAATGATGAAAGAAGAATTAAAAACTGAGCTAAGAAAAGCAGTGGATACAAAATTAGAGGTATTAGAAAAACAAAAACTTGAACTAGTTATATTAAAGAAACAGATTGAAGAGGCAGAAGAATTAACAGACCTTGTGTTAATTTCTCCAAACTCTGTCGCTGTTATGCAGGTACGTATTTTCATATGGGTTTTTTTTCCTTCAATAAGACGTAATAATGCCGCAAATGTGATATATGATAAAAGTTGTTACTTTTATTTGCATAAGATCATGGACATTAAGTATTTAAAAAAACATTTTAATTTCAGTTGGAGAAAACAATAAGAAACAAACTTCAAAAACTTTCAAATGAAGTTATAGACCAAAATCCACGCGAGCTGTCTACTTTCGGTTTTTATGAAGACGATTTGGCAATAAATATGGAACAGGTCATTGCAAAGAATGCCTGGATTTGGACTTCTTCGGTGTTTCCGGACAAATGTATTACTATTGTCGATGAAACTTTCATGGAGAACGACTCTGTGATTTTCACTATGATGCCTCAAGATTACAGAGGACTTCCGATCAAAATTGATGCCATTGTAATGAAGGCAACAGTTGAGGATCCCGAAGGTATAAAACATTATTTAGAAATAGCTGTTTGGGAATTTTGAAAAATAAAGTATCTTCTTACAGTTATAGCCCGTAGGAAGCAATTTCAAGAGTAAGGGGGGGATGCACAACCTCAATTATTTTGGAGGGCACAATTGAAAAAAAAATCCTTGACAAGCAAAAAGCAAAAATACCCCCCTACAAACAAACTAACAGACAAAGAAACAGACAGACAAACAAAAGAAACGGATAGACAGAGAAATAAAAATGTTCACTGTAATTTTTTTTAATTATAATCCAGAAGTATCATTTGCCACTTTATAGGAAACATTTTTGATGGAGAAGTGACTCCCAGGGAAGACGAGTATGCAATGGTGGACGTCAGAGTGAACGTTGTCTCCCTTGGGCGCCACATCCTTAAGATTTACATGGGCGATAAACTCGTCTCTACCACTGTTTTTGATCGAACTCGGGGTAAGAAATCATTCAATTATAAGAAAAGACGTCATATGACCACTCATGGCGTCAATTCACAATTGTTTTTATTCATCTAATGAAATGTGTTACAGAAGAGTAATTCAAGTGTAAACTGCCATGGAATTAGAGGGTAAGTGAGGATCATGACATCTGCTTTATAGGTCAAGCATGGGTATAAGTACTTCTTATATATAAAAGTATATTTATTTAACGTTATATACTGTGTATGTATTGTACGAATTAAGAGAATATAGTGGCAAATGGACTTAATCTCACATATTAAATAGCGCAATCATGAATAAATGCTGTTAATTACGTAACCACGAATTAAGTCGGTGAAATTTTATTTTGCTATTTTGAGGCTTGAACAATCTTTTATGGCTGTCATTTCCAAGTTCTGCCAGGTTTTACCCTGCAGGGTATCCTGAAATAGTGTGCATTTTAATTATAAATAATATTTCTCTTGGAAAATCATGAGCGTTAGTTAAAGCAGATTTTATATGAGGGAGCAGATAATTTATGAACCTTCATTTTTGCAAAATATCAAAATGGTACTTGCTTACACTGCTTTCAACTCCAATATTATACACTGCTGGAGTCGTCTGGGGGAGATATATGCTAGATCTATAATTTGCAATTAAAAGCAAAGTTCCTCGAATTCTATTTCAAATTGCTAAGATAGAATTATAACTAAATGTATTGGTATTTGAGTTGATATATTGAACTCTATTTGATTATTGAAAGGATTCGACAGCGTGAATCAGGTGATAACGAAATTATCTGGACACTTTTTTGAAATTAAAATATGTACATGTACATTGTTCTTTATTCATACATTTGTTTTTAATTTAATACATGTATGCTTCCCAAATAATTACAATACTAAAGTTACTGATTTAAATTACGCTAAATTCTTTGAATATAGTGTCTTTTTTTATTTTTTGCAGTTAACCTCCGTTCTTCTTTCCCGTTAGGACTGGGCGAGAAAGTTATCTCCCTGAACTTAGAAGAAACAGACGTGTGACTTTTAGTTGATTAATCAATTAATTATGTCAAGACCAGGGTCCAGGAAGACAGCCGAATAACTTTTTTCTACGCATTTTTGCAAGCATGCATATTAAGATAAACTGCGTCAATCGTGAATAAAGTTAAATAAAGACTCTTTTAAAATCGGCTATTCGTTAAATTAATTTGCATTTCAAGATCCTCATTTATTTCAGATGAGTTTGTGTGATATCTTAATTTTTTTACTGTTATAGAATTGATGAAAGAAGGAAAGACGAACTCTACTGAAATGAGAGAGCATCAAATTACATGTACTAGGCCAAATGCGCCATCAACATCATTTTTATATTCAACGGGCAATTACTCTGTAATAATCTTGAAACGTGTGGAAAATGTTACAATGAACAAAAAAAAAAAAATAAATAAATAAATAAAAACAGCGAAATAAAATAAAAAAGCAATGAAGTTAATTTCTTTAAAAGGAGAAGGTGTAACAATTTTATTACTATATTCCCTATTCTTGCAGTTTTGAAATAGTCATTTGATATGCATCAAACTTGCAGTTCTTACATCTTTGTGTGTAAAATTACAAAGTTATATTATAAAAAAAAAAAAAAAAGCTCAAAGCTCACCATTAATTAGCCTAGTTTACTATGTGCAGTCACAGGCCTTTGGATCGCTTAAATCCGACTTAAAAAAATTGGGGTGTATAAAAAAGATATTTTTTAACACCTTAAATTTTTTAAAGCGATCTAAGGGCCTGTGGTGCAGTGTAAGAGACCATTCCAGACGCGCGCGATCAATCGATCGTAGGTGAGCGCGGATCAAAGGATCTAATCAAGTACCATCTTCAGGTATAGACCCAAAATCAATTCTCTATTACATGTTTACGGCAATGTTTGAATTTTTAAGTAATGATTTGGTTTGTTCTTGAGATTATTTCTATAAACAGTACCAGTACTCCTACATAAACCTTTGAAACACTTGTGGGTGAATGGTAGGACAATGTTTTAATTTTAAACAACCTTGAATGTGAAACAGGAAAGGAAAAAATGTATAGCTGGACCGGGAATCGGACGCGGAACCCCTGCATCTCTAGTCAGTTGCTTTACCTATTGAACTACACGACCCAAACCATTACATTCATCCCTTCTTAAATTGGCTTCGCCCCCACAGTCACAATCCAAGCTCTTATTTGTCCCTAACAGGACTTTCACCTGCAAGACCAGGGGTGGTAAACGGCGCCGATTTATATAACAGGAAAGGAGAAGTGTGGCTGGTCCGGGAATCGAACGTCTGACCTCTGCATCACAAGTCAGGAGCTTTACCTCTGAGCAACCCAGGCCTCCACAGCCCAAACCACTACACATGAAAATGGTTCCATAATTTGAATTAATGCTAAATATTCATTTCTTTATACGGAAAAGCTTTCCATGTATATATTCTTATGTAAAACATACAATTTTTTTCAGGCCCTGTAGTTATAAAGATGATTTTTATTAATCTCGGCGAGATTCGTAGGGACTAAAAATTTTGGTCTGACACCAGACCAAAGTTTTTAGTCCCTACGAATCTCGCTGAGATTAGATTTTTATATGACTCCACTTCATTTTTAAAATGATATCACTGCAAGATGCTGTTCTTTTAAATACTATAGTAAGCTTGAATGCCCCTAATTTCACCAAAGATTGGCAAGTTTAATTGGCTTCAGTAAAGGTCATGAATAAAAAACAGACAATGGAAAATAATCAGATCCAGAAGTAGGTCTCTGCTGAAACTGTAGCTCTACCAGAGTGTACTTTAAAATATAATAGTGGAACAGAAAAGTAGCACCTGGACATGCAACACTTTTTTAAAACTATAGAAATATGTCCATAGGACATGAATGCCTCGCCGAGGGTATATTAGTAAAGCAACATGAAAAATTGTATTAGTGTATGAAATTTGATTAGAATATCTTGAATTATAGTTTCTAAGAAAAATGAGGTCAAGGTCACAAGAAAGTTCAAGGTCAAATGTTTTGATGCAGTTGAATGCTTCTCACAAATACGTATTAGCATATTTAAGTTTGAAAAAATATTTTGAATGGTTTATTTAAAACTGAGCTAAACACTAATTTAAAATAAATGAAGTTAAGGTCAAAGGAAAGGTCAAAAAATGTTGATGCAGTTGAAAAGGTTACATCAGTATGTATTAGCATATGAAGTTTGATAAAAATATAATGAATGTTTTCTTTAAAACTGAGTTAAAAACACAAATTGAGAAAAGTGAGGTCAAGGTCAAAGGAAAGGTCAAGGTCAAAAAATATTGATGCAGTTGAATAGCTTACATAACTATGTATCAGCATATGAAGTTTGACACTAATTTAAGAAAAGTGAGGTCAAGGTCAAAGGAATGGTCAAGGTCAAAAAATGTTGATGCAGTTGAATAGCTCTCATCAGTATGTATTAACATACGAAGTTTGACAACACTGTATTGAATAGTATCGTAAAAACTGAGCTAAACACTAATTTAAGGAAAGTGAGGTCAAGGTCAAAGGAAAGGTCAAGGTAAAAAAATATTGATGCAGTTTAAAAGCTCTCATCAGTATGTATCAGCATATGAAGTATGATAAAAATATCTTGAATGATTTCACTAAAACTGAGCTAAACACTAATTTAAGAAACCGTTCACGGTAGCTCAGTCGGTAGAGCGCTCGCTCCATGATCGGGAGGTCCTGAGTTCGAATCTCGGCTGCAACTGACTTAAGTCAATAAAAAATAGGTAGAAACTGTTCCTTCGCCATGCGCTCTGCACTTTGAAGTGAAAGTTGGGGGTCCTTTGGATGAGACCTTAAAAACCCAGGCCCTGTGTCATGGCAGGCGTTGGCACGATAAAGATCCTTCACTGCTCAATAGCCCTGAGTGCCGAGTTAAGGTCAAAATTTGAAGCCCTTCACCGGTATATGGTGACGTCTCTATATGAGTGAAAAATTCTCGAATGGGACGTAAAACAACATACAATCAATCAATCTAATTTAAGAAAAGTGAGGTCAAGGTCAAAGGAATGGTCAAGGTCAAAAAATGTTGATGCAGTTGAATAGCTTTCATCAGTATGTATCAACATATGAAGTTTGATTACACTATCTTGAATGGTATCTTTAAAACTGAGCTTAACTCTAATTTAAGAAAAGTGAGGTCAAGGTCAAATGAAAGGTCAAGGTCAAAAAATGTTGATGTTGTTGCATAGCTCTCCTCAATATCTATCAGTTTGATAAAAATATCTTGGATAGTTTCTTTGAAACTAAGCTTTGAACAGAGCTAAACTCAAAGTGTGATGGAAGGACAGAAGACGGACATGACGAACACTTAAGCCCTGGCCATATTCATGGCGGGGCATATAAAGTTTTTTTGCATACCAGGTATACAGAATTGTATATCCTAGTGTTTCCTAAACTTGAACCAAGTTTTACTAAATTCAAACCATAACTTAGGATTAGCAATTTGAAAATTTTTCACAGAATGAAGGACAAAAAGACCATGATTTTATTTCACTCTGATGTTTATTATTTTTCTCTGTCAAACATCAACAAAGTTATGTGGTGAGAAAGTAAATGAAATAATTCTTACAAAAAACAGATCTGCCATGTTACAGAATATAAGTTAAGGCAAAATACTGTGTATAAACAAAAGTGTACTGGGGAAGACGGCAATTAAACTCCACACAATATCACAATTTCTACCACTTCCCCTTCATATTTAAAAAATTTTTAAAATATAGTTCTGTAATGTAGCATAATCAAACTCACTACAAACAAAATGTTGATGAAATATTCTTTCCCCCCTTTTAAAGCAGATGTTTATATGTTAATGTAACAAGAAATATTCAATGTACACTTAATATCAAGCATTGTCTTTTTTTCAAAACTAGGTAAAAATATATTCGGCTAAACTGGCTTTTCTCTTTCTTATGAATGTTTAAATTGAATTATATCCTAGAACTCAGTTGTCATTATTGAACGTTGAGCTTGCGCTTTAGAGACTCGGGCATCTCGGGCGGTGGTGGGCGGGGCAGTCGGAAGTAGACCTTGACTGAGTCATAGATGAACCACTGCAGGGCGGTCAAGGTACCAATCATGATAATCCTTGGTCCAAGTCCCTTCCACATTCCTGTTAAACAAGAAAGATCTTGATTAAGTTTTCTTAGTTATTTGGCAGTGTATAAAATTGTAGTTAGCCTGACAATACCAATTTTTCTCAAGGCAGACAAATTTTCATTGAATAAATACCATGTAATTTAAAGAGGGAAAAATAAAACTTTTAAATTCATCTTAAACATGACATTTTAAAAATATATAAATATATTACTAGTAAGCCTGCATTTTTTTCCCCAACGGATTTTGCACACCATAACTTACTCTGTAAATTTTTATTTTTCAACTTAATTGTAAATCATATCTTTGTTAATGAACAGCAGGTGACTGAAATCCAATCCTCGTCTTACCTCTAAGTCCCAACTGCTTTGCTGCCTGCACAAAGGTACTTCCTTTGTCATTGTTCAGTTTGGAAACGATTGTGTCTGCGGGGTGAGACACCACAGCACAGAATACACCAGCTGTAAAAGTAGGAAAATGGATTTATCGTACAGATCAAAATCTTGAGTTTTTCACTCCTGAAGGCACTGGATGGACAGAGTAGAGATTATTTCAGAGAAAGTAAAAAAAGTTTTATTAAAGTTTTAAAATTTTTTTTAATAATATTTCCAATCCTGATATTTATCAAAATAAGCCACATTCTTTACCAAAATATTTTTGCTGGAGAATCTGTAAAATTTGCAAATAAACAGGCACTTCTCCTACCATCTCTGGAGTTTCCAGGGGGCCCATGATTTTGCCCCATTCACTATATGCATTGTTTAATATTGCATTTATGAGAATGATCACTGTTCACATAAAAGCATGTGTTTTGCAAAAAATGACATTAGCAGTGGTTCAGTTCTGAATTATGATCTACCTACTCGTACATTTTACACACACTTACCAATGTAACCAGCTGAGAATGTCACCAACAGCTGCTCTCCCTTGCTACAGTCTGATCGTGCTTTTGGCACTACATATTTGTACAGAGCTTCTAGTGTTCTTTCAAAACAAGCAAACTTCATCATGGTGTATGGAATTTGTCGTGCCCACAATGGAACCAGTCCCTTATAGAAACTGTAAGACAGTTGGAAAAATCAATTTTTAACCAAAATACACTTCAAGTTGGCCCACTGGCCAAAAAGCATACTTCATAGCAGGTCTAATGACTAAATTGATTATGTAAAATTCATAAAATTATGATGGGAGATGACATATGTGTTCCTACTGGTAAAGTGCAACTTTCATAATTTTTGTCAAAAGTGTCCTAAAACCATTTAGCTCTCATATTTATTGTCAAAATGATGCTTCTTGTACACTGTCCAGAACATCAATGAAAAAATAAAATCTTGAGCAAGTTCATGGGCTGACAGATAGATTTTTCAAGTACTTGCCCATTGGCGAGTATATGGTCAAAATTCACTTGCCCTACCTGAATTTTTACTTGCCCAACCATAAACTATGAAAAGCAGGAAGATAAAAAAATGATTCTTACAAGTGTCCATTTCCACTTAAAACTAAGACATTATTTTTTTCTTGAAAAAATCGGTGCCCTCGGGCAAGTGGTTAATAAAAATTCACTTGCCCATCCCCAAAATTCACTAGTCCCGGGCGTCAGGCAATGGGATTTGTCAGCCTCTGATGTTTTACTTATTTTTGGAGTTTCAGTAATTTTGGTTTCCTATAGTTTGACTATCATTGGGAAAATCTGCTAGCCTAACACAAACTTTGGAAGAATTTAACATTGAAGAACAAACTTATCATGATGCCTGTTTTTGTACATTGTTTCTATATACCTCAATGAATGTTCAAACCATCAATGGGTAAATTCTTTTTATTTTTTTAACAGCTTGAAAATTTCAAAAATTTCACTATCCAAAAAAAAACTTTATTATTTTAACAGTTTGTTTATGAAATATTAACGTATTCAAATATGTAAACTGGTGATGCATCTAAAATACACGCGTAATCAATTGCCATAAAAATATGTTTATAAAGCTAAAATTAACTGTTGCATAATCAATTAGTACTCTAAAGTTGACTGTATACAATCACAGGTGTCATGTGCAATGAGGCGTAACTAATCCTGTCGGTTGTCTGCACGGGGTGAAATTCACGAGATAATCAAGCCGCATTGTAAATACAAGCAGTAATTATGGTTTCTAGGTAAAACCCAAGATTCAAAAGTGTTTTTAAAAAGAAGCTGCAGTGTGATTACAGCTATCGGAGTTTGGCATGCGACACTATTATGACTATGGACTAATAAACATGAAATATCTTGTAATCAATCCCTGTTTAAAAAAAGAAATAGGTTACAAGAAAAGTTGTTTCTTGGATAAACTTTATGATAGTTAGAGAAAGGTTTCGATTAAATATTTCTTTGACAAATTCTAACATCTGAAATCTCCAGTTCTCGAAAGCACCCGAATTTTCTCGCTGACGAGGACGCATCCACTCATGAGTTCGCGGACGCATCGTTTTTAAGAACCTTGTGTCCCAAATAATTTTTCTGCGTCTAAGACGCAGATTCTTGCGTTAATGAGAACCCTGAGTCCATTCATCAGTGTTTCTGAGAAACCAGAATACCTACATATATATATATATTAAAGATTTCCTCTGTTCTAAAACTTACAGAAGACTTCTTTTCTGGGTTAAAAACTGCACCTACCCATTGACTCCTTCTTCTTTGAGGATTCGTGGGAATCCCTCTCGGAGAGTTGAGGACCAGCCTGGCTGCGTCTGAATTCTGACTTTTACGGCCTCCATGGGGCAGAGTGCAATATCTGCAAAGAACTCAGCAGATGCACTGGCTGCCAGATACAAAGATGTCCTCCACAAGTAGGTATTTTCCTGAAAACAGAATGAAGTCATCACAGCAAAAATATTCAGAATGCTATTAAAAAAAAATAACTGAAGTTTAGTTGCCTTATTAAAATGAAATAAACTTGTACATTATTGTTTGACAATTCCAATATGTGCATAGTGTGTTCCCTTTGGGTATGGATATCTTTTTCTGAAGTAAATTTATTCTTAAAAATTATTAATTAGTAATTTACAATAACCATGATAACAGTGAATTTTTTTTTTTGCCAACTGAACTTGTACTTTTCCCTGGGGATAAAAAAAGTATTTGGGAAAAAGAAAGGTTAACTGATTTAGAGATTTTTTTTATCATACCACAGTGTTTAAGAGATGTAACGCAAAAGATGGAATTGAAATAAATCAAATCAAATGATATGCATTATTTGTTTTTGATAATCGATTTAGATCACACAAGGTATTTAGAATGATCATGTGATGATATTGCTGATTCGGTTTTTTTTCTCTCTCCAATTTGTCTAAAAGTTTGATAATTTTTCCCACTTCAAAATCCACAGGGACTTTCTTTAAAATGGGGGAAAAAACCCAACCCATTGAAGTCTAGGGGCTGATAAATCCCATTGCCCGACGCCCGGGACTTGTGAATTTTAGGAGAGGGTGAAATTTTATCAACCACTTGCCTGTGGGCAAGTGACTTATAAAAAATAAAATAAATATTTAAAGGTGCTTAGACACAGATTTGAACTTAATATTTTCTCAAATTTTCTGTACATAATATCACGACTTATGTATTGTAATAGCATTTCACACGAAAATATACTTATTTTATCTGGAAATTATTGGAACTACAAATTCCGGGACGAGTTTGATCAACACATCTTTGCACTTACACAAATTTTAACTTTATCCTTAATATTTAAGAAAAGAAGCGATTTTATTATGTATTAATCATGAAAAATATTACATCTATAATCCAGAAAATTAAAAATAGAAATGTTCGAAAGCAAAACCAACTCACCAGTATTGTCAGTCCATGCTCTGTGATGCGAACCGAGTTTAACAAATTGAACACACTCGTGAAACGTAAACTGTTTTTGTAAATAGGGCACAAGCTCTGCTATTGTTAATGTTTAAGTTTCACGGGTGTGTTCAATTTGTTTAACTCTGCACACATCAATGAGCACGGAGTGACAATACTGGTGAGTTGGTTTTGCTTTCTCACATTTCTATTCTGAATTTTCTGGGTTATAGTTTTAATATTTTTCATTAATACACAGCAAAATTGCCACTTTTCTTAAATATTATGGATAAAGTTAAAATATGTGAAAGCGCAAGGATGTGTCAATCCAATGCATCCAGAAATTCGAAGTTTTAATAATTTCGAGATGAAATAAGATTTTTATTATATTTTAGTATGAAATGCTATAGCAACATATAACTCATGAAATTATACAGAAAATTTGTGAAAATATTAACTTCAAATCTGTGTCCAAGCACCTTTAAGTCATAGATTTAAGGGGAAGAAGAACCTTGAGCTGAAAAAATACTTGTCATTCAATTTTTTTCATATTTTGTATATTTTGAATTAAGTATGTCCCATATATCTTAAAGAACTTATATCATTAGGTTTCTTAACTTATTTTAGAAATATTGATTGACAAATACTATGCCCTACAGTATCTAAGTGGAGTTTTAATTCTCCATGTTTCCGGGCCCATTACTCTGTCCATAATGGGATTTTTAAGCACAGATAAAAAATATGTAAGCGTACATGTATCTTTTAAAATATTTCAGAGTATGAATAGGGTTTAAAATTCAAAAAGGCAAGTTTCTTCTATCAAACTGCATCTGGATAGGGAAAATTACGTACTTTTTAAGACAAATTAAACAACAACAAAAACTTAATTTGCAAAAAATTCTATCATTCAATATTTTTAAATTTACGTTGAAGTGCAAGTCCTTCATATTATTGATCAACTGTAAAAGTTTCGAATGATGAAGCTGACCTCAATATTGCACAGGACATCGTTAAAGAAGACATAAGCATGACAAAACCGTGTCATGTTTACATTTCTTGAGTACGGGAAAAACCAACTATGACGTCACACGTAAGCTAAATAAGCGAAATAAGATATACCTACATAAGATTTCCCTCATCAGCAATGCAAAAATAATTTTTGTGTTCCCCGTTTCTCAAAATATTTCATCATATACTGATTATGACCTGTTTTTACTAGGGCTGGGATGATACAGTATTTTCTATATCGATACGTATCACGATATTTGAGCCACGATACGATATGTATCACGATATCTTGAATTGGTAATAAAATCTTTTTTTGTATGGAAATAAACAAAACATTTCTTTGCAAATAAGAATAATTTATTCAAAGAAGTTGTATATCTGTTGTAAAGCAAAATTATTTTACACAAGTGGTGTTAATTATAATGTATTTCATATTTGTATTTCTATTCAGCATATTTATTTTATATATTCAACCCAAAATGTTAGTTAAACAAAGAAAAACACAAGTCAGAATTTTTTTGGCGATATTTCAATATTTCTTCATATGTATCGATATGTGTATCATCCTCACACAGAATCGATATTATTGATATCTAGATATATCGTCACAGCCCTAGTTTTTACATAATAATACCGCCTCTGTATTCCGAGTATGATCTTGCTGTACTAACAGGTCGTGTATGACGTCACCGACTTGTTGGACGCACAGTTTAGGGAAACAGAGGAGTGGATCAAACAATTTCAAAATTTGTTTATGTTTACAAGAATGTTAAAACTTTTAATTTTTTTTAATATAAGATGGTAATTAAAGTAAACAAATTGTCAAAAACATATACAAGAACTGATGCTTTACATGTTTTACACTTATATAAACAGAGACTATGACGTAGTTAAACAGAAGTCATGTGACCATGTGTCCTTCGTCCCCTTAATACTGGACACAGGGGATTGCATGTTCTACTCAGTATTTTTTCCTATTTTTTTAAAAATATATATAAATACAGTATTAGTTTACGGTTGGGCAACAAATATTCAGGAAGGGCAAGTGAATTTTCACCATACACTTGCCCCTGAACAAGTGCCTAAAAAATCTATTTTTCAGCCCCTGGGAGTCTTGAAAAAGACATTTTGTATATTAGTCTGTCGTGTATTAACATGATTTGGAATAAGTGTACATGAAGCAGTGCAAAAGCTGCTAAAATATGATTACTGCTAAACAGGCATGTTTACAGGATCAAGTAATTAAAATTAATCAACTGGAATTATATTTTGAAATTTTACAAGTTAAATCCCTTCCCTGGTGATCATTCCTCAGTTTCATTGTCTATCAAAGTTTCCTTTTTATTTATTGTACAATTATTTTAGTAGAAAAATGGAAAAAAAAAAAACAAGTTCTACAACAAAGACCAGCTCTGGTCCTGCTTGAATTTTATTCAAGACAAGCCCAAATTTTTTTTACATGTTTTACCCTTAGGCAATGCCTAAATGTGCACATTAGACTTGGAAACAATGTCTGTACATTGTGTGTCATATTAGATACCACCGAATGTACATTTAAAGACACACATCTATTCAACATTCAATTTACCTCTCCTAAAAGGTTTCCATACACAATCTTGAAAACTTCATAGAAACCAAACTTGCAGAGTCCTTGTGCTGAGTAACCAATGGCTGTCGGGGCCCATCCTTTGGATAATTCTTTCAGTCCACCTTCCTGGACCGTTAACCTAAATCCATTTACAATGCCACCATATTTCTCTGGATTGACCTGAATACGGCACTTAACGAGATCGAGGGGTACCACTGCTGTATGTGTAATACCGCAACTGAGAATACCCCCAAAACCGCAGAGGGCATAATATTTGTTGGATCCAAATTCACAGCTTACTTCTTCGGATCCTTAAACATAAAACAATTATATTTTTTCAACACTCTAATGCATAGGTTGTAATATAATAAAATAATTCATGACTGAACGATCTCAAAATGAACCATTGGCAATGTTTACATATTTGATAAGTTTTAAGCATGTTTGTCAGATGAAAAATTAAAAATTTAATATAAACTTGGAGCTTCGGTGGGGATTTATTTATTTTGTTTTGATCAGTGATCTTAAATCTAATTTTTCATTTAAAAACTCTAATATGGCAAGCGTCCTTGACATGACCGCGAGCCTCTGTACAAGAAAAATGTGAATGAAAAAAGTTGTTAAACTCCAAACATTCACTTTTAAACACCGTGGTCTCAATCAAGCACATAATTTTTTTGTACCTGCCGCAGCTGCTGCCATTCCTGTCCCATTAGCATCGTTTTTGCTTTGACAGTTTGCTTCGTTGAAAAACGGTTTGGCCAGGGGATTACTCCGAGCAGTTTCTATCAAAGAACGGAACATGATGCCCTGTAAAGTATAAAAAGATGAGTTTGAATCATTTAAACTGTAAACTATATGCAATAATTTAAAGGAATCAGTTTAAAATCATTATGTTTCATTCAAAAAGTAAAGCCGGTTTATCAGTCACCTTTCTTCAATGGCGTGTCGAAACGAAGGGTCGGTTAAAACAGTTACGGCGAAATCGTTTACTCTTTATTTTCATTGGGTAAAATGCGATGACGTCACACTAATCAAACGAACATTTTATTTATTGAATATTTTGAAAAATAAGCTACATATATAAAGTTCTCATAATATTTTTGATAACATCTATCATAATTATGGCAAAAGTAATTTTTTTTCTTTTCTTTTTTTGCATGTATATGATGCACATGTAGACAGTGCTTCCGCAGTGTTACAGGGATTGTATCAAAACTTTCAGAGACATTTTTTTTCCTGAAAATAATTCTTCAAAGAATTTACGTAGCATTTTCATGTTTAACTCTGTCGTTAGATTATAATTTAACTATTTTGACCATATGATCTGTCACCACAGTTACACTGAATGAAGAGATCTCGATAGATCACAAGTATCTCAAAAGGACTTTAACATGTATAGGTTTCTTCAGAGACATAAATAATAGGTTTTTTATGTCTCTGGTTTCTTGCAAGGAATTAATTTTAATTTTTTTTTTTTAAATTATTACTTTTATAACATGTTCCCTTTTTTCTCTCTCTATTTTCCCCAATGTTTGTTTACATGTATTTTCTCATATAAAAAAGTCTGTTTGTTTGCTTTTTGTGTACTTGTTTTTATGTAGATCATTCATTTGGTTGTATTTGCAAATTGTTCCTGTAGAACAAAATCAAATTTTAATCATTTTCTATCATTATGTAGCAGAAAGGCTTCTTATGGCATAACATCCATACTCGAATATGCCTCAGGTTGCAGATCCAGGATTTGGCTTTGGGGAGGATGTGTTAAAAATTCGCCGGGAATTATTTTTTTTTTCTCAAAAAGGTAGGGCTTATATAGTTGTTTGTCAGCGGCAATTATTGCCCCCATTCTCACAACGTCCTTTTTGGTCCTTTTTCAATTAATTGGTTGCTGTGGGACCCCTGAAAAAGAACTGCGAACGATAGTATTGTTCTCCCGCCTACCTCCAAGTCAATTTTCAAAAGTTAACACATTTGAATGATTTTTCATATGTATATAGATATTTATATGAATTTTCATAAAACATTACTTCTTTGGGAAAACGAAGAGAGAAATTCTATAATTTTGATAAAAATAGAAATCAACGGCAAACGGAAAATATTTTTTAAACATCTATCTCTCTCTCTCTCTCTCTCTCTCTCTCTCTCTCTCTCTCTCTCCCCCCTCCCCGTGAAACAAAAATTCCTTTTTACAGGTAATATGGACTGTCATTTCACAAATTCATACCAAAGCTTTTTGTGTTTCACGGGGGGAGGGGGGGGGGGCATATGTTTACAGACAAAAAACTACAAAAATTCTTATTTTTTCACCAATTTCAAAAGGGGTTACAACTAAAACATTGTATTTTATTAATAATTCATATGTTTAATTTTATATGAGTAAAACATAAGAAAATATTTAAGGAACATTTATTCATATCCAAGGCATTATGCCTGCTGTTCAATCCATTTCATTTGTAATGAATAAATATATTTTAAACTAAGAATATTTTAAAATGTGGTGATGCTTTAAAGCCCGATTTCAATGAAAAATATCGTCTACCCCCCTTATTTAAAGAGCTGGAATTAGGGGTAAATAACTCAGTGTTTAACCAGGGACCTATATACTAGTATATAGGTCCCTGGTTTAACACTGGAATTAAAATTATCAGTCAATTACCATTGAACTGTTCTTTGCATTGAACAAAAACTTTACGGCCAAATTGCCATTTGTATTGAATTAAATGGGTGTAAAATGTAGGCGGGAATCGAGAGTTAGCGTGCGTAGTTCTTTCATTGGAACGGGCTGACTGCAGCGAGGTTTTTCGGGAATATTACAAATCTTGATTGTTTTTCTTATCTTTCAAACAATCACACTTAGCTTTTCGGTGATGAACAATGCGTAACACGTGCATTTTACATGTATAGGTGTCAACTGATTCCTTAATTTCTAATTACATTATCTGTCTCCGATGAGAGAAGCAAGCCCAAATAAAACCGATTGGAATTTGTCAGGGGTCCCACGACAACGGGTTGACACAGGACCCCTGACTTTGTTAGGATGCAATGCATGCCCCTCCCTCCTAACACTGAATTGACTTTTAGTACCAAGTAACCTTTTAGGTACCAATCAATTCCACAGAGGCTGTACGTCTGCAGTGGCGGATCCAGAAGTCCATGTGGGGGGGGGGGTTGTTTGAGGCCCGTAGGGCCGAAGGGGGAGGGCATGGGAGGGGGTGTCCCCCTCCCATAGGTGGGGGTTCGAGAAATTTTCTTTAAAAATGGCTCCAAATGGTGCATTTTCCAGCATTCTAGATTGAATTAGTTAGTTTTGGCCACTTTTTTCTTGTTGTTTTTCAAGACCGACCTACCCAAATTTTCAAGAAATTGAACAAAAAATTAAAATTTTGGGATAATTTTTAACTTCCATGTTAACTTGAAAAATGAGACTTTTCTAAAGAAAAAATTAAATTCAAATCTGATAAAATTAGAAATATCGCCATTTGATATGTAATATCCAATTCTTCATTTTAAAATGCACGTCCAACATACTGTTGCATGTTGCATGATGTGCAATTTTCCAACACTTACAAAATTCGAATACTGTGTAGAAACCCTAATTACTTTTTTCAACTACTTGACTATACTGTTCATATAATTTGCAATATAAACAAATAATGATATTTCATATTAAAGAATGAATATAAATTATTTTGGGAAATTGTTGGAATTATTGCTTATTCCTTGGGGTGGGGGGTAATTATAACTTCTAACATAAATGCACTCTTTAATTCTATTTTTTTACCCACTTACCTGTTTTGAAAAAAAAATCTTGAAAAAACAATCAATAAAAAAGTGGCCAATTCTTGTTTTGACAGGACCTCTAATTTATACGTATCAGTTTTACCACAACATGCACTTGTCAATTCATTATACAAAGTTGTAACCGTTTGCTGGGTTTTATTCAATATCATTCAACTGTAATTAAAAAAAATGCAGATCTTTTGCTTTTTAAAATTGCATTGTAACTTCCATCTACAAAAGGAATACTTTCAATGTGCTTTTTGGTACAGGTCACAACGTAAACAACTAGACAGTATACGTCCCTAATGTATTAATTAATTTTTTTTCTAAATAATAATCACAGTTTATTCACGTACTTCAATAAAGTAACAATCGGTTATCAAGGAAAGAAGAAAATTCTTGAAACAATATTACTTCAGCCATGCCAAAACAAAACCGTGATAACTATGTGTAGTTTTGGTTGTTGGGTATGACGTTGTGTCTTCAGTAGCTGCACGGACTATCATGATCTCTGTACCGTTGATTACCCCTGTGTATTGTATGCGCTCAAGCAGAAAGGATTTCGCATGGTGGCTGTATATTTCACCTCTTTGTGTAAAACAATGGGCTTGGATAGAGTCGAATTCATGCAATATATTGTTAAAATGACACTTGTAAAAATATTTTTATTGATCGGGCGGGGGGGGGGGGGGTTTCCCGAACCCCCCCAAACCCCCCTGAATCCGCCACTGGTCTGCGTATAGTAAGGGCTAGGTCATCTCACCAAGTCAAGGATTTCTGGATCAGAAATCCATAAATTGACAAATTGGGAAGATGAGGCTAGATGTGTGTGTGTGTGTGGGGGGGGGGGGGGTATGCCCCTCGGAAAATTTTTAACACATTTACAAATTTTAGTTTATTTTTTCAGGTGAAAAGGGATATCATTACATATCGATACAATTATCGGTAAAATTCCAGGAGACTGCATTTCTTCTTCTTTAAAAAGAAAACTCTCGATCAACCTAAAGAAAGAACAAAGTCTATAATTCGGCCAAATCAAAGCCTTTGAATGTTGACATACTATAATTCTTCTTACTGAATGACCCAACGATATAGTGAAAAATGTCTCTATTTCTATTATGCAGTTTATAATATTTTAAGCCCTGATATTTTGACGAAAATATATAAATTAAAAACTGATAAATGGAAGCGGCAAATCACTTTATGTGTTTTTCTGGAAATCAGTTAAACTGCGGGATAAGTTATTCTCTTTAGAGACTGGATGGACAGGTATGGCTATGCCTATTAACTTCTCTTTACAGAGAATATATTGAATAAGTTGATAAGTTGTCATGGGTAATCCATGCAGACGAGGAAGGGTGGGGGGTGGGGGGTACAGGCCTATCTCATATAATTATCGTTTTTTTAAATAATTTTTATTTTTCACCCAGAGCATACAGAGGCTTGCTTCCGCAATATATACATAATACCGTTTTAAAAAAAATCATATACATGTACGTTTAGCATCAAAGTTGTTAGTTTATGAATCTTATAACCACCTGGTCAGGCCGTAACACCCCCAACCCCCCAAGACAGTCCAAAACCTGGACTTTTGTCATAGGCGCTCCCCATGCAAGTTTGTAGATGACGAAATGATAAATCCACATAGGTCTACCCCTCTATACTAGGCTTATAAAATCAACAGTTGATTTTTGTAGTATAGAGGGGTAGACTTGTAGTTCAAGTTTATCATTTCGCCATCTACAAACTTCCATGAGGAGCGACCATACTGCAAGAAAAATGAGGGGGGGGGGGCACCAGCGTATAATGGAAAATTTACTATAGCATTATTTTATACTCCACAGAAAAGGGTCTTAAGGGGGAGCCCCCCCCCCCCCCCCCCCATTCTACGGGCCTGCTTGAATGTATTTTTCATTTTCCTCTCCATATATATAGGAGTAAGCCCAGAAATTGTGCTTAGTTTGTCCTAGAGCAAAAATATTATTAAAGAGCTCATTTTGCGTGTTTTTTTTTTTTGTTTTTTTTTTTTTTTTGTTTTTGTTTTTTTTTTAAATATCCTTATAAGAATAGTGTATAGCTTTCACAACTATTTATGGTTTTTTTTATGTTTTGAGATGGACCCTTAAAAGGCAGACGAATCTGCGAAAACATTCCGATATTATAAGGAAACAATGTGAGATACATTTTATCTGTACATTATAAATAAAAAATTAGCCTGATCATATTCTGAATTTATCAATGGACTTAATTAGGCCTATTAAAATTACCATCCTAAACGTTGTGTGAACAAGTGCATCACTGCCTGTGAAGGTGACTGCAGAAAACAACATGGCGTCGAAAGCAATGGCACGATTGCTCGGTGTAAGTCTTCTAAGCAATAATACAAAAACACTGAAATGCATCCACTTATTTATTGCTAGTTATGAGAAAGTGCAAACTTCTGAATCTGTTAAGAATATTGTTCTTGATTCAGTTAATGCTTTTTTAATAGAAATCGTCATGGGGAATTGTGCAGAGAAACTTCTCTACCACTGTCTCAAGGGCAGCGACCCAGGTAAACGGATTTTACAAATTCATGATTAAAGATAGTCATCTTATTTAAGTGTATGTTTTAGTATGAAAATTCAATATAGAGTTTGATTGTTTCCTCTTTTTTTTTTGTTTTTTGTTTTGCACCTTGCACACATTATTGAACTGTGAAATATTAATCCTGGTCCTATCAGGAACCTAGACAATTCATTAATTTTAATCTCCCTCAGAAGATAATACTTTAAGTTTGAAAGCCAGAGGTGAAGTTCTAGTGTTAGCTGCCATTTCGTACAATTATTGCAGTGTGAAAAAAATGTTTATAAACATCCAGTTCATGCTAATGGTAGAGTTGGTCTATCCAGTTCATGCTAATGGTAGAGTTGGTCTGTCCTTAGTATGAGGACGGGGATGGGGTGGGGAAACGACCACTTTTTCCAAGAAGAGTGTTTTACTGTTAATTTATTTTAGGAATGACTCTAATTCTTGGCCAAAATATTCGAGTATAACCTGGTTTGGGTCAGTTTACGCTTTAAAATCCGTGAAGCAGATTATAAAACAGCGTAAACTGACCCAAACCAGGTTATACTCGAATAATTTGGCCAAGAATTAGAGTCCTTCCTTATAATTTAATTTTAAAAATCATTAAATAACTATGGGTGTGAAATTTCGTTGCATTTTATTCGTTCAAATTTGCCGCTCAATAATACAACCATAGTTACGGAAGTGATAGGAAGCGAGGGGAGGTAAAAACTGATACATAGGCCTATCAGCCTTGTTGTTTGTTTACATGTGGTAAGATCAAATTATTGTTTGAAGTTAAAGGTACATTTATTAAATCTGGAATTTTCCATGAATCCCGAGGACTGGAAATAAGAGGATTGTATGGATACAGATGATTCAGCTGGTTGTCAGGGGGGGGGGGGGGTCCCATACCAAACCAGGTTATACAGAAATAATTTGTGTTCCTTTTTGGATATTAACCAATCAGAGGCTAGAATACAAACAAAATTAAATTATATGGAAATATCCATCCAAAGTCTGGCTGCCCATCTTTTTTTAGCAGTATGACTGAGCCTCAGGCCCTCTACATGATCATATCCAAAAAAAAATTCTGCCGAGTATTACAAATGTATACTCTGTAGAGTAGGTCTAAGTTTGTTCCTTATCTAATTGAACTATTTTAAAGGTGTGGAATATTTTGATCCCTGTCTATATTTTCTCTGTTCTCAGATTCTAACTGTATTAAACATGTTTGCTGTTCATTCAATAATATTAGATGACGGTGCGAGATGCCCTAAATTCCGCCATGGATGAGGAGATAGCAAGAGATGACAAAGTGTTTTTAATGGGGGAGGAAGTGGCTCTGTATGATGGGGCCTATAAGGTGATTTCCTAAACACTGATTTTTTTAAATAAATTCTTGACAGTGTTTAAACTCCAAAATAACTGTTTTTTTCTCTCTCGCCGGATTTTTTAAAAAATATTTTTTTACTGGAGGTTTTCAAAAATATTGTATATGATCTCAAAATATTAAATTCTAAGAAAAATGAACTGGTTTGACTTAAGGCCAGGCCATCAATTTTAGTAATATTAAACACATATTTTAGATGAAAAGTAAAACTTTTGAAAAATAAGTGCAGGGAATTTTTGCTAATTTCTTATGATTCAACTTACTGTTTATGATAAAGTTATTTCATCATTGTTTCTCAAGGAATTTCTCCATGAATTTGGAGAATTGAGCATTTCTTAAAATACTAATGATTTTTTTTTCAGGTGTCAAGAGGACTTCATGCTAAATATGGAGACAAAAGAATTATAGACACCCCAATTACAGAGGTAAGTGTTTCAAAGTTTGATATTTACATCAGTTTTGAACCTTTGAAATTGTTTCTCTCTAGATGATTTGCAGTTTTTAAAATATGTTGGAATTGATTTGAATTAAATTTGTAAAATTGGAATTATCTTTTCAGATTTTTTATTCTTGTCAATATGTTATTTTTATAATCTTGTGTAAATGAAATTAAGATATGGTTAAATCAAGACATGCATTTTTGTAGAGAAAAGTTTGAATATTTCTCTCTCTCTCTCCCCCCCCCCCCCCCCCTTAAAGAAGGAGAATTAATACCATTTATGAACATTTTTCTTTCCAAATAGATGGGGTTTGCGGGCCTAGCTGTTGGTGCAGCTATGGTATGTAACAGAAATAATGTTTTATAGACTGGTTTGGTCAGATTGTTCATTAGTTATGCAGGCTATGTTGATCTACATTATTTGTTTGAAAATTTTAATTGGAGTGTATAAAATTGATAAATATTATGTTGGTATGCTTTTGAAATCTAGTAGCTGGAATATTCACATGAATGAGAGTAAATAACATTTTTTAAAGCCAAGTGATTTACATTTTTTGCAGGCAGGACTAAAACCTATTTGTGAATTCATGACCTTCAACTTTTCAATGCAAGCTATAGACCAGGCAAGTATAGAAGATATATGCCTACTTTTGCATATTGTTGATTTTAAAAGTTCCTATCCATCCCACAGTTCCAGAATAAAAGAAGGGTTTGATGTAAAAAAAAAAAAAAAAAAAAAGAAGAAGACCTCAGGGTTCGACACTAAATTTTTTACCTTGGTGGACCGCAGGTCCATTTGTCAAAAATTATTGGTGGACCTTCTCAAATTCTGGTGGACCTTCATAAACGTTTGAATTAATGAATGAATTCATTACACAAGGCTTGAAACTAACTTGTGTACCAAGTCCAGTCATACTAATAAAGTATAACTGAAACAAATCAATTAGTCAGGAGTTTTTCTGCAATATTCTCTAATATGTTTTCAGTATTTTAAAAAAGAAACAATCTATATCTTCAAACAATTTATTTTAATATCATTTATTTACAGTGGTAAAAACCAGCATTTATTTTGCTTCCAACAGTAGATAAAATTTAAAATCCCTGTAATTAAGTTGTATATATAAACAAGTGAATTTTTCATGTATCTGTGGCTAGAACAATTTTTACTACAATGCAAAACAACAAAAGTATATGTATTTATTTATTATTTTTAAAATTATTATTTATTCAAATGTGATTTAATGTATAGCAGAAAAAAAAAGAAACTGCAGGTAACGTTTCATAAAAAATAAATCATGCCTGTTTGAAGATCTAAAAAAATTAACAATGCATAAATGCAGCTGTCAATCAATTCTAATTATCTCCAAACCTGACCATCAGTTTGCATTCAAGCGTGAAGTGATTTCCTGTAACCCAGTGTACATTTTCACACCTTTCTGTGCATTAAATAAAGGAAGGAGAGACTGATTAATTTGGCACGAATTTCACATGCTTCTTTTCAAGGTCCATGTTGAATGTTCTTGCGTTTCAATGTTATTGTTATTGTAGTCATCAATATTACTTGTAAAATATATATTCAGCTAAATATTTACCTAAAACAAATTTTACCATATTTATTTATTGTAAAATACAAGTATGGATGAATTAATCATTTGATTTACGGATGTCGATAACAGATTTATAGAAAAAAAACCCGGAATTTTACTGTGTATTTTTCAATTCGGTGTTTTAATTTTAAGTGGACCGATGGTCCACCTAGTCCAGAACATTTGGTGGACCTTTCAATTTTTTGGTGGACTCAGGCCGCCGGTCCACCGTTAGTGTCGAACCCTGGACCTTATGTACATGTAATAAACCTTTTTAAAAGGAAGAAATATGGGGACCCATGTCACCCCACAAATAATACTACATGTTTGTGTATTGTTGGTGTGATACAGATATATTTTTGATTTAACAAGCTTACTTAAACAAAGAGTAAAGCCTATAAAAGAGATTTAGGTATGATTTAAAGATCATAGAAGTCAAACTAGCGAACCAAGTTTCTATTCAATGTTTCATCCAAAAATATATATATACAGTAGATAATGATTAACTGTGATAACAGGTGCAAACCTACAACAGGTATTGGACCATCAAATTATTAATTCATTATCATTAAATTTATTGTAATTTGTTTTTATTGAAGGTTATCAACTCAGCTGCCAAGACCTTCTACATGTCAGCAGGAACTGTAAGTGTGAACTTATAGTTGGGATGTGTCATTTAAATAATATTTTATGCATATATATTGGGGTTGTTCCTAAGAATTGAAATAGTAGGGGACAATTAAAAAAGAAGAAGGGGGTCTTGGGTTCCTTCCTTAACCAGAGGGTTGAGGGGGAATGCCTGAGTAACCAGGGGATAATGCCATTATGGGGGGGGGGGAGGGGGGAGGAGGAAATGCTGCGGCTCTCAAGTCTTAGGGACAACCCTGTATATATTGATTAAGTAACAGTTGGTACAATGTGATTTTAATACTGTAGAAGCACAAATTTTCGTGGGGATGAAATTTCGTTGATTTGTCATCTAAAAAGGTTTCGTGAGGATTTAATTTCGTTGTTTCGAAAGTAACCCTATTCAGTATATAGTCATATAAAATTTTGTGTGAGTTTATTTCGTTTATAATCGTTAACAACGAAATTAACGAAATTTAATCCCCAACGAATATTTCTGCTTTTACAGTATATATATATTAAATTATTCTTCTGAATTTCATGTTCATATTTTCTTGGATATTTCACTTAAAAGTACTTTGCTTAAATGCAGTTACTGAATATCATACAAATGTGGGCATGAATATGAGATAAGTCCTTAAGGTGTAAACTTACAATTTTTTTTTCTGGGGGGTGTTTGATTAAGTTAAAACATTTTTTCCAATGTACACCGGATGTTTGTGGAGCAATTTGTCAAAATTTTCAAGAAAATTCAAGCTAGGAAGAGCAAGGTTCACCAAGGGTATTAATTAGCCCATCGAATTCTGAAAAAAAAAATAAAAACCTTTAAATTTCTTCCTAGTGTATTTGTAGCAAGATGTCATGAATTTGTCAATATTCTAATTTTATGAAATTTTCTTCCAAAACGGCAATTATTTCAGGCTTCTTTTCATTATTTGGAATACAGCGTAATCTCTGATAGAAAAATTTAAGTGTATATATTGATAGAGCAGTTATTAAAGTTTATTACACAACTTTCATTTTAAATTGAGGGTTGTGCTCATTTGCATGTATAAATATTTATATTTATACTCAAATATATCAGTCAGAAACATTACAGTTTCATTAAGTTTATTCTTCACTACATCAACTCTCAGAAGTAACTTTCTCTATGGGTGTCAAAAGTGTGAAGTTTCTTCTTGATATTTACACTTGAAATTGGAGATAAGATGACAGGTGAATAAATTGGTTACGCTCTAGATTGGACCATTTTATGCCTAAATTGATCCTAGCTTTTTTTGGAGGGGTATTTATAGGCGATTTTTAAAAAAGAATAAATTTTAAAATCCAACTTGTTTCTCCCATATTTTCACATACTCCTATGATTTTATGATGGTTGTAATCTGAATCCACAAGACGCCATTCTTTTGTCTGTTGCATATTGCCAATGGTTATAAAACACAATTAAATTTTCTGCTTTTTCACTGAAACTACTGGACCATTTAGTGTTCATAATTGGTGTATGCATGGCTTAAGTGTTTTGATAATTGTGAGTGTACATCTCATCATGTGTAGTAGACTTCACCTGTTCAACAAATCTGTCTTACATACCCCATTACCTGTCTAAAATGCTATATTTAACTTTATTGCTGTAAAATTGGCCTTGCTTTGAAATTATACAATTTTATTTCTCTGATGATATTTTACAATATTCATATAAAAGCTGTAAACAAGGTTGATAAAATGAATTTATTAAATATATAGTGCAGCGTGCTCAACTAGCTTTATTATAAGTGAGAGGTTTACATAAGTAGCAAATTATAAACTAGTCATAAGAAACAGAATTCATCCACATGTTCCACAACGTGTTTAAGGGAGACAAAATCACTACAAGTATTTGTAAACTGTGACCGTTGTGTGCATATTTTTTCCTACATAAAGATTATCATCTTTATCAACACACACACACTGAGGGGAACTGACCCCTGGCTGCTCTTTGAGTAACAGAAATAAAAACTGCCCATCCTGATCAAGCAAGTGAATAGAGCTATCGTAAAAATCACACACCAGGATGTGACCGAGGGCATCAGTGCAGATCCCTTGTGGAAGAAACTTTTCTTGCTGACCTCTGTAGGAGAATCTGTAATGTCCTGATTTATTCACCACCACTACTGCCTCTTTGTCATTATCAGATACACAGATGTCACCATTCTGATTTTCTGTGATGTAATGGGGTTCACCATACAGTCTCTGTATCAGGTTCTTCTTCTGTATGTCCAGTATTTTATCGCCTGTCTTGTTGTACCTTGTGATTTTAGCCTTTTTACCTTTCACCATCCCCACCAGAATGTCCCCATTGATGTGGGAGGAGTATACACTGATTGGTTCCCAGTCCCCAGTTTTAATGAATTTTACGATATAATTATTCACAGTTATCCTGTTGACCACTCTCTTGTAGCGGTCAGTGAAGACCAGCTCCCCATCCTGTTTGACCGCATGGTAGCCTTCATCCTCACCATTTGTCTTTATCCTCCTCTGTAGTTGGTCCCCCTGTAGCTGGTTCCCCTGTTGATCCGTTTGGATTAGGTTCTCATTGTTGTCACTGATCCAGAGTTTGCCAGATTGATCCAGAGATATATGGCTTACACTCTCAACTCCGTATACACTGAATTCCCTAACCTTGGTGATAGCAGAAGCTGGATGCATTGTGTTGTGTCAGATTTCAAATGACCAAAAGCAGACTAAAACACATTAGAAAACAAAAATCAACATCTTCATCAAAACAAGCTTGAAGTTGTTATATAATATGAAATAAATTCCTGAGATCTATTTGAAAGGAGTTGTTTTCATTATACATGATAAATGTACATTAAACATGTTGAAGATGCATTAAAGCACACTAATATATAATACAGGAAAGATCATCCTGAAAATAACTACCAGAAATTAAAAATTAACTATACACTCACAATACCTGTGAAAGACCTAGGAGTAACCATTTTATAGAGCAGCAGACTGGGATTGGTAGAAAGAGAGTTTGAATGAGACTTTAGGAGATTTGTAATCTACTTCCGGGTTGTAGATATAAATAGATTTAAATCACCCACAGATATTATTAGCATATTGAATAATGAGTCATAAGACTGTTCCAAACAGCTTTTGTAAACATGGATGACTTAAAAATAACAATAAACGATTGTACAGAGGTCACACTGTCTTTTCCGTTAGATTCATTTTACAACCAGGTTCATGTAGTTTATTCATACAACTTTTAAGACTTGCGGAAACAAAAAAGCTAATTTATTGATACTTTTAAGGCTTGGAGAAACAAAAAAAGAGCTGATTTATTGATAATTATATCTATTTAATTATATTAAAGAAAATATCCAGAAACTTTTTTCACCATTTTGTGTAACATCGGCAAATAACAGTCAAGATATTTTTAAATCCAGCTAGTTGTGGAATATAGTCTTCAGTTTCATCTGATCGTAAGATTGGTCACATACAGTATTTGAAATTTCCTTAGTTTGAGCTAAGTCTGTATTAAGTTGTAAATGTAACACAGATATGAAATTCACACATATAGCCTAGTAACACGTTGCATACCCTAGCTGAAAAAAGATTAATAAATTCTTTGAAATTAACATAAGTCCTGTACCACAATGTAGTTAGTGGGGAGTATGTTGATTTCCTGTCTAACCATTTTAAATGTAAGACAAGTAAGAAAGTTCAAGATTTAATGTATTGTACAAACAAGACTTGCTGACATGTAGTCTATGTTTAGGTGGTCTGTCATTCTGGTGCATCATATGCTACACCTAGTAGTCTTTAATAGAAAAGTTTGCAATAGGCCCAATAGGAATAGTCACCCATTAATATTTCATCAGTATTAAATCAGACTGCTTTTTTTATATGGTAGGTCCCTGTTCCGATCACGTTTCGCGGTCCTAACGGAGCAGCAGCTGGAGTAGCAGCACAGCATTCCCAGTGTTTCGCCTCATGGTACAGTCACTGCCCGGGACTGAAAGTTGTCTCCCCTTTCAGTCCGGAAGATTGTCGAGGATTGCTCAAGTCAGCCATCCGTGACCCCAATCCGGGTAAGTTCTGCACGTACCTTTGTATTTTAGTGTGTGTATGTGCTTTTCTCCCACAATATCTCTTTCTATAGCATTTTACATGAACTTTATATGAGAAGGAGGAAAGGACTTTCCCCCCAGCTAATTGATTTTTCTCTTTTCTTGGAATATGATTTTTAAAAATTTTTCTTACAAGAAGATCTAAGAATTTTTTTAATGCCTAAGTACTGAAAATTATTTTAAGCATATATTGTATCTAAAGGTATGAGTTGTTAATGATATGATGCATAATTTTTTAACAAAATTGTATATCTGCCATCTGCGGAATAAAAGAAAGATACAGATGCAAACTTCCATGGTGTTTGTACAAGATTTGGTTTTTCTAAGCAATATGCTTCTTTGTCAGTCCAGCAGATTTGTTAATGATCTGTTAGGTGGTAGGTAGAGCTCCTCTCAAAAGATATTCTAAGATATATTGTACTGTATTCATATTTTCTCCCGAGGCCTGTTAAATGTCTTTAATTTTGAAGAAATCAAACTACAAATGAAATGTTTTGTATTGTTTTGGAATTGAATTGATTACTACATAATGTAAGTTTTTGTAAGAATGTTTGATGTTTTATGAAATGTTATTTGTATTGTAGTGGTATGTTTGGAGAACGAGATCATGTATGGTTCCTCTTTTGAAATCTCAGATGAAGCTCTTTCACCCGATTTTCTCATCCCCATAGGAAAAAGTAAAATAGAAAGAGAAGGTAGGTTTTACAGAGAATTTGAAGATTTAAATATCTTCTAATATACTGTAAATCACTTTTTATTCATGAGAACTTTAATTTTGCATAGTGATGGGATACTGTCTGCCTGGGAAAATTTCATTCTCGCATATACATGTAATTCTACAATTAAAGATTATATAGAACCATAACCAAAATTCGAGCAATTTTTGTTTCGTTTATAAATACCAAACAACAATCTTGCAAAAATAAGGGGTCGCAAAGTTTGAATGATCTACAGTATCTTAAAGAGGTTGATATGGAAATGTCTACAATGTAACAATAAAATATGTCATATATAATGAAAGGAATTCAGAAAATGAAATTGTGTCATACATGTTATCACATTGGTGTTTGAATAATACTTTTCGATTGAAGTTTAGGCTTTTTTTTCAAATTCAGTATTTTATTAAGTCTTGTGTTTTGACAGGAAAACACATAACCCTAGTGTCACACTCTAGATACGTAGGACATTGTTTAGAGGCAGCCAATGAACTAGCAGGAATCGGAATAGAAGCTGAAGTAAGATTAATCATTGTTTGTCACTGTTTATTTCTATACTTTGATATCTTTACCCCATTTTTCTTTTATCTTTGTTAGCCTATTGCCTTTAAAAATTGCTTAATATAACAGTATTTATAAATAAAATAAATAAACAAGAAACATATTGACGCAAGCGTCAAAAAATCGGCCGCAAACCAATTGTCTCTCTGAGGCAAGAAACTGAAATGCGTAATCTGTTGTTAATATATCTGACATTTATCTGTTAATATAAGCCGGTGACATAAAACATTACATACGGGACAATGCAGGTGCGGATTTCATTTTTCAACAACCGAATCTTTCTCATACATAATTTGCGTTTCACGAAATATTTTACTTTAATAGTAAAACAAAGCAAATATTTGGGACCTCTCTCTCTCTCTCTCTCTCTCTCTCTCTCTCTCGCAAATCCAAAGGAGAGTGTTGAAACCCAAACAACCCCCTTTAGATCCACCACTGCATTTCTTCTCTCAGTTTCTTTGTTGTGGTGTTGAGATGTGGCGGGAATATGCTTGGCACATTGTAAAACGCGCTTTATCCTCGTTTGCTGGAGCAAAAATTTCGTAACAATCTGTATTTTTTCTTTTAAGAAGTCAAAAGTTTTTTTTAAAATTTCTAATGAAATGTTTATTTTTCATTTTAAAACAAATATAATAAATCCTGTTAAACTGAGAAAGTAATGTTGATTATATATATCTCGGTCTTTGCTTTAGATAATGCCAAACGTGTGCTGATAGGATTCTCCGCTCTTCAAAATTCGTCAATCAGGATTCCATCAGATAAAATATTTACCCCATTATTTATTAATTTTTTTTATTTTATAATTATTGTGCGTTTTTGTTAAACATTTAGACACTCCTGATTAATATTCTATATGAATGTTAAATACTTTTATTTGTTTTCAGTTAGCTCCGCATAAACGCACGGCTACTTAAAACTTTCATATCAAATAACCGACCGCCTCCTGGCGGCCGGTAATAAATAGCAGAACAGCTTCTGTGTGGTGAAATAAAGTAAATGTCTTAGGCTTAGTTTAATTATATTGTCAATCTTGAATTGAAATTTGTTGACAACTGTGATGATTTGAAAATTGTGGACAAATGTCAGTCTTAGAAAAATTCCTTTGAGGTGTTTTAAGATGAATCATATTTTTTCTAAATTGATAAATAATTTTTAGTTTCTACAATTTGCAGCCTATATGAGATGAATTGTTTACATAAATGCAAATGTAAAGAAATCTATTGCATCTAATTGAAGGTCATTAACCTAAGAACTCTGAGGCCAATGGATGATGCCCCGATCATCCAGTCAGTCATCAAAACCAATCACCTAGTGACTGTGGAGGGGGGATGGCCGCAGTGTGGGATAGGGGCTGAAGTCTGTGCTAGAATTATAGAAAGTAAGTGGACATCAAGATTTCCTTTGATAGGCCTCACTTAAACAACAACCTATTGCCACTGATATTACGCTTAATTTGGGAAATTTAACAACGTGGGTATCCAAATTTCTGAAGGTTCTTATGACATTGTTTTAGACATAATGGTATCAAATTCAGTATACTCATTTTAAATAAGAGTACACAGTCAATAAAATTATTCATTGCTTCATTTTGGAATGATTTTGTGAAATCCCTCAATGAAGAAATTGAAAATGTCTGTAATTTTCTTTATTGAATTAATTTTGTCATAAAATTCCAGGTCCAGCCTTTAATTATCTGGATGCTCCAGTTATGAGGGTTACCGGTGCAGATGTACCTACTCCATATGCAAAAACTTTAGAAGACCACTCTTTCCCTCAGGTTTTTAACATCGTGAACACTGTCAAACAATCACTCAACGTTTCCTAACAGAGCTCAGAGGACTTCCTCGGATGGACGTTAAAAGTTAAAATTGTATTGTGATAGAAAGTATTGTTGATGACAGTTTTATAAATTATTTGTTCCCTTTAGACATTTTGTCTGGTACTGTTATTTTATGATATTTTTTTTTTAAAGCATGTTTAGTAAGAATTTAGGATTTTTTTCTGTTACAAAAAGTTTTATGTTGTTAAGGATTGTCAGATTGAGTTTTTCAAAATGACTTATACAAATATAGTTCACATTTGAAACTAAAAAGTTAAAATACTCAATACTCGGTGAGAAAAGAAATGAGAAGGAAGGATTTTGAATGGGCTTTAATTATAAATGACTAATCAGGGGAAAACAGGGTTTGACAGAGAATCGAAATTATTATGCATATCAAATGGAATTCACTTCTGGATTTAGATGTAACATAAAAACCTGTATCTGGTAAAGTATTCAGCTTTTTAATACATTTAATAACTTCAGAATGCTCCGTATTATTATTTGCAGTGTATCTTGCTTCTTTTGGAAACATGTGATGTACTCGATATAAATACTGTGGTTAAATTTCTAAATGGGGCCAACAGTAAAAAATGTTTTGTTTGATGTGCTCTGATTGCAGCGTCAAATTGTCCTAGGAAAATTATCTAAACTACGACAATGAAGTTTAGGTATCAATCGTAGAGGAATACCGGTAAATGTAAATTTGTGATTTTCATAATATTTATCATTGTGTTAGATGATTTGAAAAATGTACCTACTACCTTAAAAAAAATGGGTTGGAGTACATCAAACAAAAAAATTTTAATGATGGCCTGATATAAATTATGATTGATATGTAACTCTTAGGTGGGGAGTTAAATTGCTACATATGGGTTAATTCAAACGGTAATATAAGTAAGATATCGCTGTAACGGTACCAATACATGTACAATCAATGGAAGATCAATACAATCAATGGAACACCAACAGAGGAGAGATTAATCTTTCTTAATTTACATGAATGAATGGATAGATTTTTTTATTTCCAATTTATTTATTTTTCAGTATTTAAGGTTTTCAATAAAGTTTAATTTTGGTTTGTTTTATACTGATATGTCAAATAACAGGGATATGATCAAGGAGTTCACTTTTCCAAATATGTTGTATACTTGAGATTCAACTTTGATATCTTGAACCTTTTAGATAACTAGAAAGTTTGTCAGATCTCTACAGGTATGAAATGTTGAAACTCTATTGTGTATAACACTTTGTTGCAGCTTTTGCACTGCAAGGATCATTATGTACATGTAAATTCATGGACAGTAAATCAGGCTTATAATGAAGTGCCAGGATGGATGATTCTGCTTTGTTATAAACGTAATTCATTATATCCATTATGAAAATAAAAAAATCAAAATGAAAATCACTTCGCTGTAAGCATCAATTCATTATAAGCGGGTTTCCTATAAGCATGTTTTACTGTACATGTATTTAATGGATAATAATGAATATGGTGTTGTATGGAAGGGGCTATTTTACATGTACAGTGTATTAGCTGATAGATCTGACTTGCATAAAATATGGTGTACATACATTTACATATATTTTAATTGACACAAGGAAACAACAACACTAAATCCTGAAGTGTTTGTATTGTGTTCATGATGTCAGGGATTCAAACAGACAAAGTACAAGAAATTAAATGTAGAGAGAATGGGTTAAAATTGCTCATCTCCATACACTTTGTCTGCTGTATACACATAATGCTTGATGTTTTTCATTGCACTGGAAAAGTCGAAAGATGTTCAGACAAGTCCTTATAAATTTATCAAAGGAAGTGCTTTTTTTTTTGTTAGAGTCTTGCATATAGCATAACTATGTATGTCAAATACCCATTTCTTATTAATACCAGTTTAAAAGAGGTATCAAAATTAATTGCTTTGTTTTGTAGCAATCAAAAATTGTATTTGTTATATTGATGCTAAATGATCTGCTTTCTCTGTAAATTTTCAGGCATAAATATTAAATGCTACATGTAGACACATATTTTTGACAGAAAACTACATAGTATTGTAGCTATAATCTTCATTTGTTTTACATGTATATTTCATAGCAATAAAGTTAAAGATTATTGCTCTAAACCTTTAAGATGTTAGAAACTTTCAATTGCGTGTACTTTAATGGCAACCAAACGACATTTTACAAATAATAAACGGTAATAAATTTTACACTGTTGTTGTTTTCTAGATCACAGGAGCCAAAGGCTCAAATGAAATTTTATGATCAAAGTTTGTCTGTCTGTCTGTGTAGATGTCTGTCTGTTGGCATCTGTTAACGTTTCATATTGTTACAACTTCTCAGTACCACTTGTGATTTTATCCAGACATGGGGCAAAGCAACCTAGGGTAAAGGGGCTATAAGTTGTACAAATGAAGGGTCCTGTCTTTTCAAGGGAAATAAATTGTCTCAAGTACCAAATGACTTACAGGAAAGCTTTTCTTTGAGTGTATAAATTCAAGATTGTTCAAATCATCTACTTGGGTTAGGGATGGACCATACAAAGGGGATAGAATTTTCACATTGTATTATATGGTAAAAAAAAAAAGAAACTTGAAAAATCTTTTCAAAAACAACAAAGCTATACAATAAAATTTATTGTTATGGAAGCATACATGTAGTGAAGATCTAAGTTTCTCTAAATCATTGCTCCAGGATGGCTGAAGGAGATTTTTTCCCATTCTACTCCGGTCTGATAACTTGGTAAATATTAGGGCTGCGCAATAATATTGATATTCCGGTATATTGCGATTCGTTAACCAAAAATATCGTATTGCGATACTTTTTTCCAGTACCGATATACCGGCAAAATGACTGGGCTTTAGATTTATGAAGTAAAATATGGAATTTAAGATGTGAGAAACGTTGTCAAACAGTACTAAATGGTAAAGGTTTCTGTTGTATGGTTGCATTTCGTTGCCAAACTGTAGTGAAATAAACTAAAACTTTTTGTTACAACGTATTTATAAAAGTTTTATAACCTCTGCTTATACATGGAAGTTAATATAATAAAAAAAGTGCATTTTAACTGTATTTAAAATATTGCAATAAATATATCGCAATACAGTTCCAAATATCGCAATATATCGCTATACGAAATTTCCAACTGATACTTAGCCCTAGTAAATATATACTTGTCATGCTAAATACACGTATTTTTGGAACGCCTCAACTGCCTTCTGTGGATAACAATCATGTAATGATATTTCGTCGTTATATGCTGATACTTTAACATTATATGCTGATACTTCAACATTATATGCTGATACTTTAACATTATATGCTGATATTTCAACATTATATGCTGATACTTTGAAATAATGTGCTGATACTTTCCATATGTATTTGTAACTGTTCCGTTTATTTTCTTTAGAATGGCGGGGAAATCTCGGTTCAAGATATGCATTATTGGCACTGCGACAGATAATAAGAATAAAGAAACCCTATCGTCAATTATCCATATTATTCTTTGAGGATATTTAAAATACCGTGTGGACAAATCGATAGATCGGAATTTTAAACTTGGAAGGTTATAGCCTGAAGTAGGAATACGAAAGAGGAAGAAAAACCTACCCCAATAGAATATTGCTTCATCAGAAATCGAGCTGCATCTTTTATTGACAAATTGAGTGTTGACGATGGAAAATTTCTGCATGAAGATTGGAAAATAATGGAAAACTTAGCCGGGAAGGAGTATGGAGATTGTGCACTTGTTGAGTTTATGAACAAGGGTAGTTTTGGGTTTGTGTATAAAGCTAGATTGACGGATAAAGAAACAGGTTCCACAGGATATAAGGTTAGTGCAGAAAAAGTGCTGGGTGTTATGGACATTGGTAGGGCTCATACTGGGGTATTAATGGCAAATATTTCAATACAAATTCTCCTAGTGATATTGATAAACTCGTCTTTTTTCGAAAATATTTGTATGGAGTCACTAACATTATGACATATCTGAAACTATAGGGTACTAAACTATATCTGAAACTATAATTCTGCATATCTATTTTAAAACGGTTTTAAATTTCACAACACATCTGTGTTTAGTGTATTAAATTTCGAGAATTTCAATTTTAAAACACTACCTACAAATTATAAACATAATTTTCGTGATTTAACCCTGGTTAGTCAAGAGTGTTTGATCTGCTCCACTTCTCACCTTTGAGGTGAGAACGGATCAGAAGCACTTGACTTGCAAAGGCAAAGCTACTATTCTGCTAATCAGCGCGTTTCAACATGTACTCCGCAGAAACCGTTACTTTATCACTGTTTATTAATTTATTTCATTTTACATGTTTTAGGGAGAAATTTATGCCGCTAAGATTTTAAGCTTAGAAAATGCCACAGACCGTCATCGGGAACTTGTCAACCGAGAAATAAACATTTTACAGCAGTTGGACCACCCAAATGTTGTACATTACCAGTACCACATAGTGGCGGACAAGATAGCGTGTATAGTGATGGAGTACTGCAGCGGAGGTACTTTGTTCCAACACATTGGAGCTTTGAAGAGGGATAACAAAGTCATGGACGAAGAGGAATTCGTCAGTACTTTAATTCAAATCGCCAAAGGTGTAGAGGTATATACTGGTTAATAAAAATTAATGGTATTTTAAAGAAGCTGGGGGGTTGTGGCCATTTTTAGACTACATGTATATTGATCTCCTTTAGAAGAAGAGCTCCATATGAAGATACATGTATAGAAAATGATCAAATTTTAAAACTAGAATTTTTGAAATTTTTCTTTGCCAAATGATAGTTGACAGCTTAAGATATCATATCTAAAAAATTAAGTTAAATCTGGTGGTTAATTTGTTGACCCCCCAGCCTCCTTAAAACTTTTCGCTTTAAAAAAATCATACACTCGTTGAAACTGGAAAACACGCTAGGCCGCTGATTTTCTGGCATAAACCATTACTTCATTAGGAAGTCGGATATCAAATGTGGAAGAAAAGGTCGGTGATCAGTTAAGAAAAATGGAATACTGCGAGAACTACACACTGGAATGAATTTGAAAATGGTGTATATGTACTAGATTGAAGGAACTACAGATTATTCAAAACTTAAATGTAAAGTTAAAGTCAATAAATGTATAATGTGGTTCATGTGCACATTATATAGGTATTGCATGCGTAGTAAGGGTAACATTCTACATATATATATAAATTAGTTCGAGGGCAACATGCGTTTTTAAATTGTCGGACTATTTGCAAGAACCAAATTGTATGTCTGTGGCCGTTAGGGTGAAGGCAAACAGTTTGCTTAGAAGACTGAGCACAGTCCGCGCAGTCAACATTTACTGAACTATCGCCCGTCGTCAAGTAATGCTGACTGTTGCTACCCTCTGTCGTGCTGGAGGGCATGATTTTATCAATTTTATCAAATGTTTCTCGGCGAAAGGGATTCAACTAAATATGACATGAAAATATAATATTGTAAAATAATGTTTGGATCTATTTTTTCTCAGTTTCTTCATGATAATGCTATCATACACCGAGATCTCAAGACAAAAAACATGTACACTGGCGACAAAAAAGTTATAAAAATTGGAGATTTTGGAGTGGCCAAGTAAGTGACGAATTTGGATAAAAGTCAAATTCAAAAATATAAAAGGTGAAGATAACAAACAGTGAACAATCTCACAAATACAGTAAACAAAACGATTCGTGAACAGAACACGGACCTCTGGAATCACCCAGAGGTGGGATCAGGTGTCTAGAAGGAGTAAGCATTCTCTGTTGATCGGTCACACCCGCCGTGAGCCCTAATTGTATTGACCAGTGTACGGAATACTCCGTAGTCAAATTTAGTATAAAAACAGTGACTTTACAAATAGTATAAAACTTGTCAGACAAAATACGACAAAATAGAGCAAAACCATACAATGTGGTAGGGGTCATCCGATATTTTTTAATTTCTTTAGTAAATCAAGGACGAGTATTTACTAAAGAAATTTTTAAAAAAAAATATCGGATGATCCCTTCGTCCGTTCTTCCTTCGTCCCTTCGTTGTATGGCTTTGCTCTGTTTTGTCGTATTTCGTATGACATGATTCATATTATTTCTAAAGTCATTATTTTAATGCTAAATTTGACTACGGAGTACTCCGTACACTAGTCAATACAATATTAATAGGGCTCACGGCGGGTGTAACCGGTCAACAGGGGATGCTTACTCCTCCTAGACACCTGATCCCACCTCTGGAGTTTCCAGGGGTCCGTGTTTTGTCCTGTTCACAATTGGTTTTGTTTACTGGATTTATGATATTAATCACTGTTTGTTATCGTCACCTGTTACATCTTTGAATAGTGCCCAAATTTCAGTGCCCATAAGTGCACTTGTTCTTTAATTTTATTCTCTCAGCAAAAGTGTACGTAGCAGTTGTTCAGAAGAATTAAAATCAAATAATTAATTGTCTTATGTGATTTTATGTGAAAAATTCCTTGATATTTTCTATCACTGCAATGTCTAGGAAAGTATGCTTAACCGAACAAGTAATCATAAATAATTCAACAAGACTGCTTCTTGAAAATTTTATATTTGTTTTTCGTATGTAGACTCATCAGCAACAGTCCTAAGATGTCAGTTTTGGTAGGAACACCGTATTATCTGAGCCCGGAGATTCTCGAAGAAAAACCATATGACGAAAAAGTAAATTAATTTCTTTTTTAAATATCATGAATTAATTAATGATTTATTGAAACAACAATAACGCACGAGAAAGAATTTATCTTGAGCGACAAAATTAATTAAAAAATTGTAAAATCTTTAATTAATACAGACAGATATTTGGAGCCTTGGGTGCTCTTGTTACGAAATGGCAACAGGAAATTACGCATTTCATCTTGATACAATGGAAGCTTTAAAAGAGGCTGTATGTAAAGGGAAGGTAAGCATTTACATATTGTATATTAAAGATATAGACAAATACTGTTCGTTTTTTTTTTGTCTCTGGCGTAGCCACTCGAGAGCTTCGTTCAGTTTCATTGCAAATATAACAATACTTCATTTAACTTGTAATATATATATTAAAAGGAAGACAAAATTACAATGCTGCAATAAATGACTATTTAATTAATCAATTAACGTTTGCTATAAAGGGAGGTAACGATTCTTTCTGTATTATAAAAGCTCCCAGAGAGTCCTGCCATTCCATACAATGACGACATAGAAAACCTGATTAAACAGATGCTATCCAAAGTGAGCGCTGACCGTCCAACTATCAAACAAATCCTCAAGTTTCTCCAGGAACCACAGACATACAAACCAAAAAGTAATATTAGTCAACATACAAATCCAAAAAATAATATATGACTAACGTCACTCATATACAAACCAAAGAGTAATATAAGTCACACTCATACATACCAAAAATTGATAAAAGTCAACATACAAACCAAAAACAAATTATTTACGACTAACCTCTCACATATACAAACCAAAAAGTAATACAGATCATAGATATTCAACCCAAAATGTAAAAAAAATCACACATATACAAATCAAAAAAAGTTTTGGTAACACACATACAAACCAAAAAGTAACATAGGTCACACACACACATATATAAACAAGATAGTTATATAGGTCACATGCATTCAAACAAAACAGTATAATATACGTTACATATACAAACCCCAAAACTAAAATACTTCACACACATACAAAACCAAAAACATAATATTTGTCACATACACATGACACATACAAACTTAAAAAGTTATAATATACATACATCACACACAAAAACCAAAAAGTAATTTACATCACACATAATAAAAAAGAAATATACGACCACACATACAAACCAAATAGTAATCTAGGTTGCAGACATACCAAAAAAAAAGTAACCTACGTCAATCAAATACAAACCAAAAAGTTACATACGCGACAGACATAAAAACCAAAGAGTATTGTACCTGATTCACAAAACAAGAAAATTACATTATATGCCACACACCTACAAACAAAAATGTAATACTTATAGTTGGTTAATTCCACGGGTTATAATTTTCACGGATTATAATTTTCATGTTCTTCTCTTTTCTGACACAATCGCAGTTCGATGAATTCGCAGAATTTGCTGAAACTAATAGCTAGAGGTTGTTATATTTCATCATATAGGAAGAACGATATTTTAACTTTACATTCGAAATGTTTTCACTACGTAAACTACCACTTCGGGGTTTAAATAACGTATTCAGTGCACATTTAAAATCATGCTTAGCTGGATAATGTATGGAAAAACTACAGTATATGGCCATTTAGTGATTCATAATTTCAATTTTTTTCACTATATATTTCACTGAAAAATAATTTTTTTCTAAAAACTTATTGTAAAGTCAATTTAATTCTGATTTTCATGATTTTCCACCTAATAATGCAGAATTGTTCAAATTTTTACTTCCTAAGATGCAAGGAAAATGATACACTGATCATTGAGAATTATTTAAACCATATAAACTAAAATTTCTGAACTCAAAATACTATGAATTCGTAACAAATTTCAGTTTCATATTTGACCTGTAATATCACAACAGCGCTTAGAGTTGAAATCATGTGTAGAAACATCATTCTAATAAAAATTTTTACAATCTCTTTCTTATTTTGAATTCTCTTTACTCTTTTGCAAGATGGTTGTAAGAATATTTTTAGCCAATCTATAATGATACGATTATACTTAGTGTTTTTTTAAATCCATTTTCAAGGAAATGACTCATCATCACAGAAAGTCTCAAGGAGTGAGTCTACGGAATCAAATGTTTATTTTTACAAAGGTACTACCGATGTTGTTTCAAACTTTATTTATTAGAAAGTAGATACATACTGGATTATTGCTCGCAGTATTTTTACTTTCAATTGAGTAGAAATACTCACAGAATGTAAATAAATATTCTTATAATTTTTTATATATTTTACTAACATTTTTTTTTTTTTTTTTTTTTTTTTATACATTTTTAAGTACAAGAAGTTCGCTATTGACTGCTAGGCAAATTTGGTAGGATATTTCTGATTACTAACATTAGAAATGGTATGGATAAATAGTTGGCAACCTAATGCTAAAACATTGAGTGATGTAAAATAAAATACACAGACTAAAGTATTTCTTTTCTATTATTTGGATGCCAGGAATGGACGAGAAAATGAAGAAGAAAAACAGAAAATTTTGGGAAAAGGAGTCAGAAAAACTTCAGAAGTGAGATTTTAAAGATAATACACATTTGTTAAGATAGTTAAGATGTTACTACAGCAAATCTATTTTAAGATTTATATATCTATTATTGTTATTAAATACGACTATTATTGTTTTCTTTTCAAAGATTTGTCAATGATTTATAAAAGGAATGTAATGAAATGCTAAAAAAAAAAAATGAATATCACGTTCATGGTTTACATCTCTCTGTCTTATAATTTATTTTTTTCAGATCGCTTATTAAAAATCTCGATCATTATCAGGCTCCTGAAATTCTTGTGAAGATAAAGAAAATGCAAAGGAAAGGTGCGGAGAAGAATGATATTTAGATGCTGATAATAATGCATCTATTAATATAATTATGTGTAACATAAAACATTGTATATATAAAAATGATAATGTAACAAAACGTAGTCTTTTTAAATCTTGTTTTTTTGTTTTTATACCCACTTATGTTTTGCTGTTTCATTCTGAAAGTAAAAGTTAATATTTCCCTTTGAGACCACACTTTTGAATACTTCATTTAATACATATCACTTGCATGTTGAAAGTTTTTGTTTTAGATAGTAAATATCCAAAACAATTTAAGTCAAGAAATTTTTCATACCATCCTCTTTTGCCCACTACACATCAATTGTTCTATTTATTTCATGCCTGTATTGCAGAGGGAGATCATTCGACAGGTCGGCCATGCTGCCTGTGTTAAGCTCTATCCTCTAATTGAGGCAATGGGGTGTTTCGAAAAAGGAATCAGAGAGGTTCAAGGACCAACAGAGCTGGATCTAACACTTACTGGATCATTAAGTATTTTTCCAAAGGACCATTAAAAGGACATTCATTTTTTACCTTATCAGAGCGTTGAAGATTGTATATGAATCTCCGTTTTTATCTCATCTAAAACAAGGACTCAAGGGATCTGAATATATATCCAGTGTCCGTCTGTCGTGTGTCTTGTATTGTTTGTAAACTTTTCACATTTTCAACCTCTTGTTCATAATAAAAAGGCTGATTTAAAAAAAAAAAAAGATTTCCATAAAGTTTCCTTGGGTAAAAGATTCTAGTTTCTGCAAGCGAATAGCCACAGTCTCTTTAATATGAATTCATAAAAATACGATGGTATCTTAAAAAATCTCCTCAAGTACAGCAGAGGTATGATGAAATGTCAATTATTCTATGATAAAAGGACCAAATCAGGGTATTTAACATAGAAAAATAATTGCTTCAAATAGCCACTTGAACAACATAATTCACTAAGGGATATATCAGTGTTATTGAAAATACTCATTATCCAAAAAATTGTATCGTTAACTTTTTACAACAATTTCAATATACCATTGGTTTTAAGGTAATGTTAAATAGGGCACCTTGAACAGGACTTATTATTTTTTAAATAAACCTGAATTTGACCATTTTTTTAATCAATCAAAAAGACACACTTACTCTTTTTGGAGGGATGTAATTTCAACGGTTACCCTTCAAACACGTTTCTATTTATTTTCTGATTGATAAACCAAAAGGAAGTCGGAAACTGTCATTCGAAAACCTTTCTTTGAAATGCTTACAAATTCCGCTCACGCTTTTCTCAATAAGCATTCAAGAAAGCAGTTGGCTACCAATATCTATGTTATGCTACGCTACACAAAATACTCCATTTAGTATCCGTCATGATGATGGTTATTCTCAATTATTTCAAAGTGGAAATTAATTAGTGAAAGCAAAAAAAATTCTAAAAGCCACTTGACTGTTTAATTTTGAAACAACACTGCCCGCGTTTTCAAATGTTAGTTATTACCTCATACACAACAATATGACATCTTTTGCGACATCTGGGGTCCGTGAACTTATGACTGAAACCAGCTGCTTCCAACACCTTGCCTACTTATATTTTACTCAAAGATTTCTAAAACATATTTCCAAATTCTCAAAAACTAGAATTAAGAGGATGTTTTCCCCCCACAGTACGCACATTTGTATGGGAAGTTAGAAAATTATAATATTTCATATGTAGATACAAGTAATAGTTCGAAAAATAAAATGTTCTGTTGGACTAATTGGGATTCATAAATGAAAATGGAAACCTATTTCTCTGTATTGCTACAAACATGCTGTTCTATCGTGATTGTTTTTCAAATTTTCAATTATTGGAATAAGTTGGACTTTTATAAGAGAACTTAAGTTACCTCTATTCAAGTTTCAAGAACAATGTGTATAATGTTGGAAAAACCACTGTCGGTGAAAATATCTAACACCAACGTTTTCTTAAGAGATAAAATTCCAACAGAAGTGGAAAAACCGCAAGCGGACGACGTAAGATGTTAAAACAAAGTGTTTCCAAAGATAACAGTTTTTCGAATTATTGTGGTACACCTTAAAGTGAAGTATTTACAATTCATTTTAAGTACTGATACTTTAAGCTGAAGTCCACGCATATTTCTTCAGACTATAAAGTTTTCTGAACTCATTCATAAGACGGTAGATATAAAAACCAACATGGACTTTGTTAGCTTTTGGGCTTTCCATCTCATTTGCATTTGTAAAGGGATTATCCGTGGTTACAGACAACGATAACCATACCCTGACCAGTCTGGAAGAAATAAAAGTCGACGCCAAAAATACCGATGTTTTCCGACAACTGCTAAATCAAGAAACTCTCATCCGAATTTCATTGGTGAAAAACGTTCATACACTGATGAAGGATATGGTCGACATGAAGCAATTTTTAACTTTCTTGCAGGAGTCTCAAAAAGAAAGCTCTTCTTTGATATCAAATTTACGAACAGAAGTTGCTTCATTAAAAGAACAAAATAAGAAATTAAACAACGACATTATAAGTTTAAAAGAAAATGCTGAAATAGTCAAAGAAAATTTGACAGAATTATTAAAGATTCAGCAAACTGTAGACAGAAATATGGAAGTGAAAAGACAGACATTTGAATCAAATATATCTAGCGTTTTAGGAGATCTAAAGACTGAGGTTCGATATCAATCTGTCACTTTGCTGGATTTGAACAAACATACAATGGATATGGAGAAGACCTTGCCCAAAACCATAGAAGAGAAAAATGCTAAAGATTATGAGATGTTGAATGAATCTTTTAATAATCTGAATGCGGATCTGATGGCTACAAAGAGAAGACTCCTGACGACAGCAAACGATCTGAGCTCATTTCAAAACATTTTTACTTCATCTGTTTCTCGTATGTACTCCTTCATCATAAGATCAGATTAAAGCTTATCCTAACATGCATATAAATTGAAAACAAATTAAAGCAAATTCAACTTCTCGGAAGTATCGAATATTTCAAAAGAAATTTCATTCGTCAAATATACTGTAAATGCATTGCATTTAGTGTGTACGATATTTTGCGGAAATTGATTTTTCAGCAAGTTAACGAAGATTTAATTTAGCTTTTCTGAATGTGCTAGATATGAATATATATACAAACGACATTTAGCTGTGAATAACGACTACTGTTACCAAACAGTAATTTTGAAGAGAGGTATAACAGGTAAATGTGGAGGCAGTATAACATATTTTAGAGATTGTACTTGCTATATATAATATATTTATTGTTTCATAGATGACATAAACAGCCCTTAGGGCTGATGTCACACAGTCGAAGATGGAAAATCTAAGGCTCATTTCTGCTGTGTCTTCTCTCGAGGTATTCCGAATGAATGTGACGAACAATCACTGTGGTGAGTATCAAAAATGAAAGTAAATAACAAATTGACAATTTATTGCTAAATATAGATCTACTTTTTCTTTGCCGATGTAATTGAAAACATACAAAAATTGATCCAAAAGTTAATTATTGAACAATTTACTGTTTGAAAATTAAACAAAATTCAGTTCTCAACCATAACTCGTTATCTACTTTAGACCATGAGATCGATACTGCGAAGGAGTCTGAATAGCTCATTATAATTCTTCCACCCCAAATGGCCTTACCACATTTTGATGTCCCGAGTCTTATGTCATGTAAATATTTCAAAAAAACTTGAAATGAATTGGGGTGATATATACTGGCATACACTTAAAAAAGCATATGTTCATCTACCGACAGATTCAATCTTTTCACCAGACATTTTTTCTCTGTAGATTCAGTCAAATATGTATTGGCAAGCAATTACCCATTGTCTATGTAAGGTGAGATATCAACGAAAAGAAACTGCCAAAAGCAATGCTAGCATCTGCTTGAACAGCCAACGCGGGGATAGATGTGAAATGGGAATTTCTTGTGTGGGACTGACTACAACTATAGGCTATTAGGCCGCCTTTTGGAGGCATTTCAGCTCATAGGAATGAACAATAACCATAAATTAATTTATTTAGAAAAAAACTAATAACTACTCTTAAAAGAAAACATGCGGATTATCAGGCTAAAAATCCAAACCATCGAAGGAAAAAATCATATAGGCCCCTAACTCCTATTTTGCACCCACTCTGCATCCAGCAAATTGTTGACAGGAAGCAGAACCTGGGCTTCCCGAATTTTATATACAGATTCAATTTTACTTACATTTAAATTTGGTTTAAATTAAACAATTTTTGATATGTTCACTTTTTATATTATTTACTAGTTATAACGAAACAATAAAGATATTGGGTCAAACAAGTTTTGAAAATACTTAAACCTATTTAATATATCAAACATATTGAAATTCAATCATTTTGAATTATATATATATATATATATATATATATATATATATATATATATATATATATATATATATATATATATATATATATATATATATATATATATATATATATATAATGTCTTTTAACCTAATTTTGCTTCATTAATCTTGAAGTAACAACACGATATTGACAAATTATTGAATATTTTATGCATTTAGATTTAAACAAAAAAGTAGGATTTACAGCTGGTATGCCCTCGTCATCCACTTATTGGTCCAGTGATGTAATGGTCTTTTCAAAAGTGATCACCAACATTGGAGGAGGTTACAATTCTAACACTGGGATCTTCACTGCTCCTGTCGCAGGGATGTACCATTTTTTTCTAAATTTAGTTGGTTATGATACTAAGTCTATTGACCTTCACGTGGTATCAAATGGGAATTCGAAGGTGACAGCGATGTCCGAAGCCTCAGCTAGCTCGACATACCAAACAGGGACTAACATGTTGGTGGTACGTCTCGAACAAGATGATACAGTGTGGATTAAACGGAAGTCGGGTTCTGGATACTATTCAGACAGTATTCCGTACACCACTTTCTCTGGTTTTCTTATTTAATGCACTAGTATTGTCGTCCTCATGCTGTTTCCTCATCAATTTTGTAATCATTGCTTATAAATTATTTGCATTTTGATATGAATTATGCTTTTCCCAACATTTTCGGGGATAGATATATTGTTATTATTCCACATAATATTTAATATTTTATATTTGCTATTGTTCTCGCAGATGGCTCGGAAAATCTTAATGAAACATTTTAAAAATGATAACTACTATGTCTTGCTGTCCATGCATTCAGCATTTGGAAATTTCAAAATGGCGACCATTACCATCGAAACAGACAAAATATAAACACCTTCAAATTCATTTTCTAAGTAACTGCCCAGCTAAATAAAAATAACTTTAAAGAATTATTTCTTGCACCAAATCAATCTAATTCCTGCAAAAGATATTGGAATCGATTCAGCAAGGTCGACAAAGTTGGTCTCTGCTGCTATGGAAAAATAAAAGGAATTTAAACATTATTTCTGCTTTTAAAGGTATTTCAAACTGTATAATTTTGATGCCTTAGGGCCTCCCAAAGTCCCAATGTCTACGGTTTAAAATTCCTAAAATGGCTAATAGCATTGGAAATATGGTTAAATTTCATTGTGGAATTTCTTAAAATAGTTCTTTCTGATTTTTGCATTCAACCAAAATATAATTGTACATTTGGGGTCAGTTTTGGGTGACATATACTATAGCTTGTAATAGATAAGTTTCAAGTTTATTTCATTTATTATTTTGTTAACAGATTGTTCGTTATTTCTGTATGAAAATATGCTGAAAAATATATTTATTCATATTTAATTTTCCAGTAATGGAGTGTGACGGTACATATTGTCGTTTTGTACATATTGTCGTCGTCGAAAATATGTACCTACATGTACCGACACTGCACATATTGCCGTCCATCGGTACATATTGTCGCAGGCTGAAAAGTAACACTTGTCGTTGGTGACATTATGCGCCTCAATCCTCACTGTACACATTGTCGCCCCACAGATATTGTTGTGTAAAGATTTTTTTTTGTTGTTTTTGGTTGTTTTGTGAATGTAATTGGTGTGTGAATCACACTGACGAGTCTCGTGTGCTATTTCATGCAGCGTGATTGTGAAGGTACATTTTGTCGTTCTGTTCATATTATCGCCGGCGACAATATGTATCTACCCTCACTGCGCAAATTGTCGTCCATCAGAACATGTCGCTTGACAATGCACGACAATACTCCATATATAAATATAATTAATCATTGCTTTGCTGTTTTTTTTTGAGAAGATAATTTTCAAAGAATTTTCCCATATAATCTTATGTAAAACTTTGATCGCCCATTGTGGCCCCACCTTAGGCCCGGTTTAATTTGAAGGTACTTGAATCTGCGCTACCTGAGGATGCTTCTATATAAACATCACTAATCACGGGCCTTCTGCTCTGCTGTGCATCAGTTGTTGATCCAGAAATTTCAGAACGGAGGGGGGAGGGGGTACGATTCAGAATTTTTTTGACACGCAAAAAAAGTTATTTGTCTGTAAAGGTGTGTGACGATACATATTGTCGTTTTGTACATAGTGTCGTCGGCGACAATATATTCCTACCCTCACTGCACATATTGTCGTCCATCGAAACATATTGTCGCCGCGGCGACAATATGTACCGAGACGAGCCATTTTTTCCTCCTCCATAAAGGACGACAAAATGTACAGTCAAGAACCAGCACATATTGTCGGCGACAATATTTACAGTCAAGGTCGTCATATATTGTCATCGATATATTGTTTCAACGAATATTTAATTGAGAAAGGAAAGAGAGATTGACAAACACACACACACGCACGGAGAAAGACAGACAGCATTACCTGCAATGTTGTAGGGGGAAAACTTTTGGGTCAGAAAATTGTGTCCAGGATTGATGTACATCAGCATTACATGTCAAGATACCAAAATATTTGAAATATCTGATAAATCAGCCCATTCTTTTTTTCTTGTAATATACTAGTATACTTTGAGATTGAAAACATATATTTTTTTTGTTTAGTAGTAATGATTATTTGGAAATCATTTTTGCACTATTCTTATATACAATCATGTGCGGATATATTTGGGGTTGACATTTTTAGATCACCTGAACCTTTCTGATCACATTTTTTCTGACCGTCTCACTGTCTGGAAACTTTTCATAATTTCAGCTTCTTCTTAGGAACTACTTGGTCAATTCCAAACAAAATTGCCACAAAATATCCGTGGATGAAGGGGATCCAAGTTTGTTCAAATGAAGGGCCATGCCCTCTTTAAGGGAAGTAGTTAAGAATGAGTGAAAATTTATTGACATCTTTTAAAAATCTTCTCAAGAACCACTGTTTCAGAAAAGTTGAAACTTATGTGAAAGCTTCATTATGAAGTGAAGATTGAGTTTTATTCAGATCACGTCCCTCGGGGGAAGGGTGTGGCTAAAAATGTGATCAAAATTTTTCATAGAATATTTAGAAAAAAATCTTTCAATTTTTTTTCAAGAAGAACCGGGTCAAAAGAGATGCTGCGTTATAAGGCGTAAATTCAATTTTGAGGTGCTGGCACGAAAAAGATCCCTCACTACTCAGTGACCCTGAATGCCAAGTAAAGGTTCAATTTTGCAGCCCTCAATCGGCAAGTGGTGAAGTCTAAATACGAATGATAAATTCTCGAGATGGACATTATAACAACAAATAAAAACAAAATCAATTTTATTCAAATCATGACTCCAGGGGTAGGGTTAGGCCACAATGGGTGATAAAAGCTTTACATAGAAATATATACAGAAAACCTTTAAAAATCTTCTCAAAAACCAAAAAAAAAAAAAGATGTAGCATCGCCCCCCCTCCCCCACTCCCCCGCCCGGTGTTTTGATTTTTTTTCTGCTTTGGCAAATTCTCTTTGTTTATCTTGTATATACTCTTAATTAGTCCACAAGTAAAATTTCATTATTAAATAATTTACTTAACATAAACAGTGAAACAACTTTACATACAAATGACTTTTAAATTTTTTTGAACCGCCCGAACCCCCCAACCCTTTCCGTTCTAAAATTCCTTCATCCACCAATAAGAACAGCAGTAAGCCCGTGGTTAGTGATTTTTTATGGAAACATCCTCAGGTAGCGCAGATACAAGTATCTTCAAATCAAAACGGGTCTAGGGTGGGTCCACAATGGGCGATCAAAGTTTTACAAAGGGATATATAGGAATATTCTTTAAAAATTACCTTCTTAAAAACATCAAAGCAATGATAAGTCATATATATATGGATTGAGTGATTAAAAATTATGTGTAACGCCGAGTCGGCAATATTTCGGCCATATTTTGGCGATCAAATTAAGTGTATATGACCATTGTTGGAGTTTTTGGTTTCTCTGACCATATTTATATGGATCATTGCATTGCATTGCATATTTATATGGATCATTGCTCTGATGGTGAGGGTAGGTACACATTGTCGCCGGCGACAAAATGAACAGGACGACAAAATGTACCGTCACATCACGCTGCATGAAATAGCATACGCGACACGTCAGTGTGATTCACACACCAATTACATTCACAAAACTACCAAAAACAAACAAAAGAAATCTTTAAGCAACAAAATCTATGGGACGACAATATGTACTGTGAGGGTGAGGCACATAATGTCGCCAGCGACAATATGTACATGTGTTACTTATCAGCCTGCGACAATATGTACTGATGGACGACAATATGTGCAGTGAGTGTATGTACATATTGTCGCCGACGACAATATGTACAAAACGACAATATGTACCGTCACAAGGTGTGTAACTGTATATGTTAAGTAAATTATTCAATCAGAAAATTTTACAAGTTTACAAGTTAAACAAACAAGTTTACAAGTTAAACAAACAGAATTTACCAAAAAAAAAAAAAAAATCAAACCACCGGGCGGGGGGGGGGGGGGGGGGTGGGGGTGCGCCGGTTTAACGACGAAAAGTGACCCCCGTAGAATGTTTACCGGAGATCATTTTTCTTCGTAGAAATTTGACCCCGGTCAATATTCTACGTTGATAAATGACTAACTTTTTCGTAGAAATTATGGCCTTGGGGTCATTTTTCTCCGTGTGGATTGTAGAAAAATTACCCCGTATAATAATTATGACCCTGTGTCATATTTTGATACAAAATCTGCATGGTTTGGCAAATAACAATATTTAAAGCTTAACTTTACTTTCCGTTAATAATACAAGATGTTTTATCCCCATTAAAAGAAAACATAACAAGACTATAATGATGTTCTTTGACTATTAGAGCAAGAATTCGCGCTTTCTCTGATTTGTTTTATCACATTTAATAAGATAAGTTTCCACAGTTTTAATTATGAGGGGTGATAAAAAAAGTTCGCGAATTATCTCGTTATATTTACAAAACCACAATTCAGATCAAAATGAAATTTCGCACACATAAAGTCATAAACATAGTCTATAAATAGCAGATGTTACGTAATGTTTTACTCCATGTTTGTGACGTCACGATGTGAAAATGACGTCAATATGTAAATGACTTTGATAAAAAAATGGTTGACTCAGTCATACTCGAGCAAGGAAGGACTTTTAAGTTTAATGTGTATTAAAGAAATTATGGAAAAATAGAACGTATGGAGATCACTTAATTTTCGTGACACCTTATTTTTGCGAGGTAGTCATAAACTTTTTATAAGCGAGACAAAATTTTTACGAATTGTGGTTACTATTCTGTATAATCTTAAGGAATACTTATTTACGAGAGAATGATATTTTCGCGATCACATTGTCTCGCGTAATTACGCGAAAATATAGTTCCCGTGAATAAAAAGTAATTTACAGTAATAATTTGTACAAGGTTTATGAAATCAAAGAACCAATCTGATAAAATCAGATCCATTGATCCGCACACATAGTTCGCTACACTTGTAGGACAAAGGACTTGCCAGAAGTTCAATCATTAATTTGATTTATTGTTTTAGGAAGGAATGGAGATGCTTAAAAATGGTGTTCTTA